GACATCTCTGGAGCAGAGGATCAGTTCACTCGCGTCTTCTCTACCGGACCGAGTACCCTGAGGTGGACAACATCCTCCTTGATCCCCAGATCCACACAGAGGGTCGTCTGTTGGGTGAGGTAACACACAGAATGTGTTTGATGCTGTTTTCTCTAAGTAAACAACAGTTAGCTGCAAAACATCATTTTCAACCCAGAACGCGTTCCTCACTCTGAAAGAAACCTGAGAAATTCATTCACGCATCCAAACTCGTATTTCCCATTTAGCTTTCATCCAGCCACAGGTTTGCTTTTAAACAAGTTTAATATCAAAGCTGTTAAAAATTGTCATTAAATTGTCATCCATGAATTGTCATTTTTAATTGTCATTTAAATTGTCGTTCCAAATTGTCAAGTTAAAAATTGTTAGTAATAAATTCTTCATTTTTAAACTTGCCTCATTCTTTGAAATGAACCACAGAAAGGTATATCTGCCAGTTAGCACACTGTACTTGGGCGTAGGGGTTATGCAGCAGCTCCAAAACACACGCATTAACCCTGCAATTGTTACCCCCAAATTCCACTACCTCCGCTCCGCTCCGACACGAACGTCGGAGCAAAATCGGTCCCGTTCTAGTCAATCAGAGCAATTCCACTACTGCGGCCGTGCTCCGGCAGTGCGGCGCCGTGCGCCGCCCTCTGTTCCGGTGTTGTGCCATAAATCGACTCGCTGCCAAAAAATGATTAGCCACTAAAGAAAGGAAGGGGGAAAAAAATCAAATCGCTGGAGAATTGTTTATTTACATTTATACAATGTTTACATTCAATACAGGGCGCCATTTTACATTGTTTATTTATTTTTTTGTATCAAGGCTGTAACATAAAGAAAGCCAGTTCTTACCACAAACCATCTTTCAATCGCAAATATTGCAAAAAGGATTAATATATTCTCATTGTGAACGTTTAAGACAAATAGCAACACTTAAAACAACGTCCGAACTGGAAAAAACTAAGCTACTCATTTTTTGGCAGTGAGTCGATTTATGGCACAACACCGGCAAAAATAGAATCGATCCTATTTTCGCCGGAGCACCTCCGCAGTAAATGGACAGAAATCACAACTGCCCAACAGGAAAAGGAGCGAGCGTTTTTCACAATACATCGATAAACAAAAGGCGTTTTTTGTTTCATATGCACAGGTTTAACAACTTTTAACAACTATCAGTGGCGGCTGAAGTTTAAATGCACAAAAATAAGCCATAAATACAGTTTCTACTATCAAAGTAGTCACACTTTTGTTGATCCAAACACTGCTGATCTCTCAACACAAATGATGGGCAGATTAAACAGCTCATGCCGATGCTTCTCCCACACAACGGGTGTTTGGATCTAACTTCTGCGTTTATTGCTCGGACTGTATCGCAAGATCTCGAAAATCCCACGCATGCTTGTTTGCCCACCTCAGGTCTCCGCACCGGAGCGGAGCCGTTGTAGAGCGGGTACCAGTAAAAATTGAGTTCGGAAGCGAGCGGCTGTGGAAGGCGGGGGCGGACCGGAGCGGAGCGGAGCGGAGGTAGTGGAATTTGGGGGTCATACAGACTTTTTCGTGCATTGCCAGAGATTTCTGCAAGTTGGTTGTTCAGAAATTTAAAAAACGCTTTGACTTTGACGACCCTCTGCTGTGTGTTCTGGACTGTTTTTCTCCTGCTGTGGCAATGGACCCACAAGCGCGCACCATTTACCCTTCTCTGTTTCCCATGCTGTGCACTGTGCCTCGCTTACTGGACATCAAGGACACTGACCACATCCAGCTCATCGATGACCAGTGGAGACAGCTGGTTATCACGGACCTCAGTGACAGTTACAAAAGTATGGACGTGGATGCATTCTGGTACAACTTATCCACCATGCAAGACATGAGCGGGAAAAGGTTGATTGCAGATCTTGCTACTTTTGCCTTGGATGTCCTGATTTTTCCCCATTCCAATGCTTCATGCGAGCGAGTCTTCTCAAAAGTGAACCTAATAAAGACCAAACCCCGCAACAGGCTCATTACGGCGAACCCTCAATGGACTAATACAAGCTTCTGAGTGTTAGCAACGGAGGAGGATGCCCAGAGTTTGCTCCCACAAAAACTATGTTGCACTCCATGACTTCATCAAACTTGTACCGAAGCAAGGCCTCCACATCTACTGCTGGCAATGCTGCGACAGACAGTGAATCAGATGAGATCGAGATCAGCAACTAGGTGAGTAGGCTTCTTTGTCATTTATTGGGTCAGTTTTCCCAGTGCTGTGATGTTTTGTCGCATGCTTTTAACCTATGTAGAAATGAAATAAATAGGACTGCGCAAATGTGCATGTTGTCTCAATGCGTGGAGGTCGGAGTGGTGCCGACACGCTCTGCACGTTTATTGGCATTATATTACTGGTTTTAAAGATGTTTAAACAGGGCAATATAAAACACCTTCTTTGTTATATTAGCTGTCAACGTTGTTTTTTTACGGCGCTCTAAAAGACTACATGAAGACGGCGAGCAACACAGCATTCTGAAGGGATGTTCGCCGCTTTTTTCGGCATTTTAAGTTTAAAGACGGTGATTTACAGGGTATCCGCGGGTCCTTAAAAAGTCTTAAATTAGCTTTTCCAAATTTAAGGCCTTAAAAATCCTTAAAAATGACTAACAATCCTTAAATACAGTTTTCAAAGGTCTTAAATTACCAAAGACCCAACAAACAAGATTCTTTTGTTTTCCTGAATTTCTAGTTAGTCTTCAGCTTTTTTTGTGTATGGTGTTGGCATAAGCAGAACCGTACACATTCAGTTGGTTGTGAAAGGGGGCTATTTTTAGATCAGCACATTAGCTGGTTAAGCGCCATGGGGAAGTGCAAGTTTAATGGTAACTGGATGGCTAATCCTACGTTCAGCATGTGGTTAGCACCGGTTCCAGGCAATAGCTGGAAATTATAGCTTAAATTTATTTTTGAAAATAGCTTAAATTTGGTCTAAGTGGCCTTAAAAAAAGGTCTTAAAAAGTCTTAAATTTGGCTCCCTTAAACCTGCAAATACCCTGGATTTAAACGCCCTTACCAAACATGCTCAAAAGTGGGCGAATTGTGATCCCTAAGGCTTGCGATAGCCACGCCCCTAGAATCTGGCAACTCCCATCTTCTGTCTTCCACACTATTTTGGCTTATTTTTAGGTCTGACGTGTTGCTACCAGACGTACAGTGTGAGCACATGACTCGTGAGATCTGCCCTACAAGGAAGTCGCACAGTTTGAGCCGAAGCTGATTGCTACGAGTGATAAACTCGCAGTGTCCACCCGGCTTACAGTCCCTCTCTCATGCTGCCACCATGTGACATTCTCTTGCATTAAAGCAAAGCTGGTCTCCATTCAGGTAAATGGCCCTGGTATAATCTGGGATGTGGTGGTGCCTCAGAGCAGTTTGTATCAGATCATATGGGAAGGTCCCAAAAGCATATGTCAGGTTGCCATTCAAGCTTCTCAAATCATCTGGCTCAGGACCCGTGCCCTGAGCAACAGGAGAATCCAGGAAGGCCACCCTTTTGGTTGAGGTGTTAAAGCTGCAATAGCAAATATTCAAAACAAGCTAGCTGATACCGGAACCTGCACTGCCAAAGTATAACAAAAGAGCTTAAAACAGTCACTGTTCAAGTCCAAATGTCTTTGTTGTCAAAAAACGTTTTTCAATTTGGGACTGGTAGTTTGTCCTAAAGCTGAAGTGGTCTCTCCTTAGATGTTGAGTGGCGAACATCCCACACGAGTGGTATTCTGTTGCAAAATACGTGAGAACCAGGTGGTCAAATGACTTCATGACCACAGATGTCAGAGCCACAGAAATGTGGTCATAGCAATATGAGCTTTGCTCTTGTTGAGATGACTTCCTGGCTGACTTACTTTTCATCTCAAATAAACCAAACCACTCCATTGCTGTTGATCTCTGGAACTGCATTTACCTTCCATTCTGCTTTTGTGACTTCAAAAACTCAATAGTTACTCGTCAAAGATGACCCACTCCTTACATCTTTAGCCACCTAATCCAGCAGTTCGAAATCTGGGTGTTGTGATTGATGAACACCTGACCTTTAAAGATCATGTTACCTCTGTTGCTCGTTCATGCCTCTTTGCACTGTATAACATATGAAAGATCAGACCATACCTAAAACAACATGCCACCCAGCTCCTGGTGCAATCTACTGTCATCTCCCGCCTCGATTACTGCAATGCCCTTCTACTGGTCTTCCAGGCTGTACTATAAAACCTCTTCAAATGGTCCAGAACGCAGCGGCATGTCTGGTCTTCAATCAGCCAAAAAGAACACACGTCACCCCTCTGTTCATTGAGCTCTACTGGCTACCGCTAGCAGCACGCATCAAATTCATATTGCTAACACTAGCATACAAAGTCTGAGACGGTACGGCTCCCATCTACCTGAATCCTCTTCCAAAGGCGTACGTCTCGGCCCGGCCGCTCTGGTCATCACAGGATCGTCGGCTAGCAGTGCCTACACCACGCTCAGGACAATCCAGACTCTTCTCATGCATCGTTCCACAAATGTGGAATGACCTACCAAGCACTACCAGAACTACAGCTTCCTTTTCAATTCTCAAGAAACTCCTGAAGACCCTGCTCTTCAGAGAGCATCTTCTTAACTAGCACCTTCCCTGCACCCGTCCCCCCTCTCTACTGTCCGCTCCTTGTTCTCTCCTCTCCATGATTGATGTCAAGTTGTTGTTAGCCTCAAGGGCAACATGCCGATTATCACTTGTAAATCGCTTTGGACAAAAGCGTCTGCTAAATACATAAACATAATCCTCTCCTTCATGGGCTCAGAGTGGGGTAAAGTTTGTTAAGTTCTCCCTTTGAGTGCAAAGAACTGGGGTGCTGAAAAATCTTCAACCGATTTGGGTACTAAACAAAAGTACTGCTTCATTGTGTTGCATGTTATTCCTTCCACCACCCTTGCAGAGCATCACAACAATGAGAAAAAAACAAGCACATTTTTTACAGTTTTTATTGTTGCTGGAGGCTCTAATACAATATGAATTGTAAGCTTTACAAAAAAGACAAAAGATTCCCCTCCAAAATGGAAACAACCCAAATGTTTCCACTGAGACAAAAACAACAAAAATAAAAACCTGTGACCCCCAACAAAGACAGTACAGAGAAGAGCTGAACACAAGGGGAAGCAACTGTCCTGTTACACTCTGTTTATGTTTGGGGTGGGGGTGAAATGGGTGATATTAACAGTCCATCCCATGCTCCCACTCAGCTCTCAGGCATGCAGACAGAGTGACACAAAGTGTAAAAACCAGGTTGTGCAGAAAGAAAAAAGGCCGCCCTTCTGTTTACATCACCTGGAAGGCTGACAATCAATCACTGACACTTCTATATATCAGACCGGTGTCGGAGACAACACAGGAGCTGATGACATCACGGTCACGCCCACTGTGACTAACCGTCTGGGTCTGGTTCCTCAGCAGAGTGGGGACATCTGACTGAACGCATCAGGGACTCTGACTACAACATAAGATTATCATTAACTGTGATAATACTAGTATGTCAATAACATGGGCGGCAGAGAGCAAAGAAACAGAGGGAGTGAATGGCTTTGTGGAAACAAACAAAAACAACCATAAATAGAAAGCTAAGCATTTTTTCCTTTTTTGTTAACAAACAAACACATGTAGCACTGAAACCGGCACGGAGGGAGAGACGTGAAGAAACAACAAAAAAGATGGCAGAAGAGACGCAGAGAGAATGACACTCAGCGAAAGTGGGAGCATCTCTACGGGTTTTGTTTGAGTTTGAGCGCCTTCACTAGGTCGTTCTTTAGAGCCTCCTTCTGCGACCTGTCGGCCTGAGGCTGAACACTCCTGTGTGCAGAGGCAGAGAGAGGAGAGAGTTAGTGTGTACAATCATCATCATCATCATCATCATCATCACACAACAGGACACACTGGAACCTCCTTAGTGAATGAAAAGATCGTGTTTTAAAGGACAAAACTGAAAAGGTTCATGTTTTTGTGTCAGTCCAACTCTTCCTCAGCAGACGAAAAACTAAAGAAAAATCATAATCCCACAACATTATATACGCACACATTAATGTGATGCTGGTCATCCTGTCTAATCTGTTGGATGAAAATTATGCAAACATAATAAAGTACAGAACTAGCATTTTAACTCATTTTAAAGTTATTTGTAGCACAATATTCACTTACACTTAGGGCTGCTCGATTATGGCAAAAATAATAATCACGATTATTGTGACTGAAATTGAGATCGATTATTTAAGACGATTTTTCAATTTATGTTGATTTTATTTGTTTTTATTCAGTCATAAAATTGCTCAGGGCACAGTCAGGACAAAAATAAATAACAAGATGATCACTAAAATAACTCATTGCCAGTATAAAAAGACCAATATACTTATAGCTCATAGTTTATGACCCAAGGGCTATAGACCTTGGTTTAACTCATTTAAGTCTAACCAGTACAGACCCAAATACCAATATCTTGCAAATACTGACAGCAAGAATTATACAGTGGCATTTATAACAAATAAATGTAAATAAATTGATGTTCACAAAATGTTGCATAACATTTATTGAGTCATGTCAAGGTGCTGTAGGAGAGTGCACTAGCACCGTGTCCTCAGAGAGATTAGTTATTATTTATCAGCGTGAGGAACATATTTCTACCTTATTTATAAACTATTTATTTACAAGTCCATCAGTTAATGTAATAATTGTCCCAACCACAGCTGCACCCCCCACCCTGGGGGTGCAGCAATCGGGGCAAGCTGCACGTGTGTTTAGCACGCGCACATTTAGCCGTTTTTAGCGGCTCAGAAGTCCGCAGGTACGGTGTGTGTGCCATTCACTCTGGTTAATCCAACAGGGAGCCAGCTCCGACAGCTGTTTCTTTAGCGGCTGACACATCACTACATCATTCCCTTTCCTAATGTCCTGAAGAACGGTCCGGAGCGCAGGCGGAGTGTTTAGCTAACCTGCAGGAAATGACGACGACAGTTATCCAGAAAGTAGCTAAGGGTTACCAGAGATGTTTCTGAGGTGTTCGCTAGGTACTTTTAAGATTTAAAAAGTCAAGAAGGGGTCTGAAAAGCTGTTAGAAATAGCGTCAAAGTCGCCAAGTTGGCAACACTGTGGGAGGAGCGCTTCATTTGCAACTCAGGGCAGCGCAAGTGGGAGGAGCAAATAATCGGCTTGTTTTGTTTTTATAATCGTTCAAAACTCAGATCGTAATCGTGATTAAAATTCGATTAATTGAGCAGCCCTACTTACACTTTCCATTTTTAATGTCTGATTCTTTTGTGTTATGATGTTACTGTTACATAACGTTATTACCCGTTTTATGCTAATAGCTGACCTCTGCCAACGTCTTAACTCTAATCTCTGAACATGAATTTCCAGGTACTCAGAATAACAGTTTTACAAATGCCAAATAAAACCTTATCTTTGTAGACGATGCTTTAAAAAGTGCTTCAAACAGAATCATGGGAAACCTTTCCACAACCTGACCTGCTGCTGCCACCGTAACCCGTGTAAAATCACCATAAAATGCTATCTTACCTCATGCTGCAGTTTGTATCATCGTGTTATCTTTAATCTTTACTATTTATTTATGTGTGGCGGGCATCAACCCATCTAAGGACTGGACATGAAAATGTGTCCAGTCTTACATAAGTACATTAATACATACACACATGTTCATTAATATGCAGTTATGGAAGTCCACTTTTGCCACTGTGATGAAAAACAAACAACTCATATCCCACAATCATGAGATGCTTGTTTGTTTTTCTTTAATCAGAAAGGCAGAACCGGGCTTCCTTAAAACGCCCTTAAGAAATCAACTTGAAACAACAGACAGTAAACACACCGAGCACCATAACGTTAGTGTGTTATTGTCTCAGATCATCTGTTAGACTACAGGTGAACAACCCAGCACAACATGCTTTACACAGCTGCTCAGGGAGAACGCTGATGGTGGACACATGAAAGCCTTCCACCTGGCTCAGGATCCAACGATAATGGAGAGGTTTGTTTTCTTTTCCAAACAACTTGTTCATTTCATTGCTCGTTCCAAACCCTCTACCAGGTTCTCTATTCTCATGAAGGTTTAAAACTCTGGGATATTTTAAGAAAACACACACACAAGTGCATGCATAACACACACCGTGCCGGGCTGTACCTCTGACCCTAATCAATGAAGATCTGACGCTGAGTGAGGACCTGTGACAGCTCCCTCTGGAGTTGCCGGTACTTTTGATTATCAGGCAAAGACTCAATAGATCTGGAGCAAACGGGAGAGGAAGCGGGAGAACCGAGATGAAAGAGAACACACAGGATGAGATGGAGAGCAGAAACATGGTGTCAGAGCCCAAAAAAAGCCTGATGGGAGAGTTTGATGAGAGGTTATGGAATGAAGTGTGGCAAAGGTGGGACCAAGTCCAAAGTTAATGTTCAAGTCACAAGTAGGTCATGAGTCTTTCCAGTCAAGTCGCAAGTAAACAACCATGTCCCAAGACAAGTCCTAGATTTTGAGTTTAAAGACATCCGAGCAACTATGTCATTTCATTACAAAAACAGACATTTCCAGAAATTATACTTCCTAAGGCTTCATTCATTTGCTCCAATAGCAAAAGATGCAGCAGAACCTGATTACAAATAAACGTGCTGCTAAAAACCTACAAAAGTATTATTCACCGCACACGTAAATCAATACGAATGTAGTCCCGGTTAGAGATCGAACTATAGGAGTTTTACTGATGCTGATATGTAGAGGTTATGGTCAGCGAATGGCCAGTGTGTGCTGCTGATCTACGTAGCCAATGTCAATAACTATGGATGCATATTTCTGGACCTGATCAGTTGTTGAAATCTTGACTCTAAACTTTGTACGCTACTCGGAATTAGAACCTTTAAAAGCTGCAATGGCAAATTTGAAAAACAAATTAGTCGATGTCTTACCGATGAGGCAGGCTGTGGACAAATCCATGGCATTGTCCACGTTACATTAGCCTAAACATCTTATCATGCCTCTTAACAATGTTCCAACATTGTATATAAATACATTGTGGAGATAATAATAATAAAGTACTTCAAACCCTCTGCCAATAAACGGTTTGGACTGAAAGCAACTACAGGGAGCCTAAGTGTCCCCCCTTTCCGGTCGGACCATGGGTCCCTGGAACAAGGAAAAAACTGTCCATCAGAACCTGTTGCCCAATGGGCCTTCTGGCATCAAAGGAGGATCCTGGTTATCAGCGTATTCTGGAGGCCACACTTGTTTAAAGAGCACTTTAGTTTCCTTACACTGAACTAAATTATACTGACGTTTCTTTATTTTACTAAACAAATGACTCTTCGGAGGCGGACGCAGGCAGGAGCATCACGGCAGACTGACCGGTTACTGGTCTCGGTTCACTTTGCTGCGCGGCTTCCTTTACCATGTTCTGCCAGGCTACGCACTCTGACGTAGGGCTCATTCGGTTCGCTACCAAGTTGTGCTCTTTGTTAACCGCTTCATCTTTAAGTGAACGCATTTGATTCATGTGAGTGACGAGCTTGCCTCTTCTCTGGTTTGTAGGTCAATAGCACTAGGGATGCTTCGATCACGTGATCAGAAATCAAGTCCGATCATGTTTATTTATTTTTTTAAGGATTGGAAACGGGAGGATTGGGAGAAATAAATCAGATTTAACCTTTTAAAACAACAAACATGGCTCTTTAAATTCATCCTGAGACTGAGAATTTAAAACTGAATAAAAATGGCTTCGTCCTAATTTAAATAAGTCCCTCTACATTAATAATATTAGTTTCTTGTACAAAAACACAGTAACGTTAAACAATTTACGGCAGGCAAGGACTGAGACACCAAGTGCAGCTGTGTTAGCAAGCCTGCTAACACAGCTGCACGCTGGAGCCACAGGTGTTATGCAGAGAAACGTTACCCTGCCTGCTCCATCATGTGAACATGAATTGCTCACAGCTGCATATTGAGAGAGTAAACAACTTGAAACAAGAGCAACATTGCTACTTTTAAATATATTTACAATGTAAACTTTTTTTTAATCGGTGTACATCCCTCAAAAAGTGTAAGTGAAACTTCAAGTTGGATGTGTTTTCTTCTTATTTTAATGCTTTTCTGAAAAGTATCGGATCGGGACTCGGTAGATAATCAAAACCAAATGACTGAATCGGGGGCAAAAAAACGTGATCGGAACATCCCTGCATAGCACTCTCCCGCCCTCTAGTTGCACAACATATACAGTGATCCCTCGTTTATCGCGGTAGATGCATTCCAGACCTGGCCGCGATAGGTGAAAATCCACGAAGTAGGGACACCATATTTACAGTATTTATGTAACAGGTACGTATTCAGTATTCAGACTTTTAAAACCCTCCCTTTACATAGTACTGTATTTTTACTTGGTTTTTTTATAGTTTTATTACAAAAAGTGCACTTTATGATGAAATTGATGGAAAAAAAAACAGGAATTACTTGACATTTCGCATAGAAAAATACCGCGAATCGGCGAATTTCCCTTGAATAAGGCTCCAAAGAAAAAATCTGCAAAGTCGTGAATCCGCGATAAACGAACCGCGAAGTAGCGAGGGATCACTGTATTGCACTCTCCCGCCCTCTAGGTGCACAACATATATTGCACTTTCCCACCCTCTAGTGGCACAACATATATTGTACAGTAGCAGTTGCTGGGGGGGATTTACTTCCCGTCTCCCGGTGTGCTCAGCGGCATGTAGGTGTGGTCTGGCTGAACCCTGAGCGAGCGGGAAGTGCCCGTTATTGACCTGACTTGTGAATTCTCATGAAAACTGTTCTGCTGTTTAGTACTGCTGTCATTACCGACTCACCGCATTTAACTGCTACTATATTTTATACAAGCACATTAGGGTGTGAACAGCAGTTAAACTACCGATTAGACTGATGTTTTATTTTTGTTGTACCACCTTCAGAACAAAATGATCAGAAATGTTCATTAGACAGAACTAAGTGGAGTCACAAGTCACTGACATTCAATTCTAGTCAGGTTGCAAGTCTTCCTATAATTAACCACGTCAAGTCACACCTGAGTAATGGGAGCAGTAAACCCTCTGGTTTACCACTCATGCCCATGTGACTGGGAAAGTCAGCTTTAAATAAACCACCAGATAAGAGTTAAAAAAGGCAGTTATGGAGGAACTGACTAGGAGCCCGATACCAGATCACTTGACAGCTCAAGCAGCCGTACCTTAGGCCGTTTACGATGTCCTTGGTCTTCCCAAAGTAGATTTCATTCAGCGTGGAGCGAATCTTGTTCTCCATATCCTGACACAGGACATTAACAACTGTTAGAGTGACCTAAAAATGACTGATGACCACATCACCCCACAAATAACCTGTAAAATATTATTTCACACTAAATATCTCCAAGTGATACTGACTTCAACGAGTCGGCCGATGTTGGCGATGTGGGGTGAAGATTCTCCAACCGTCTCATCTTTCTCCATCTAGACAAGTAAAAAATAAAATGACCTGAAGTACCACTGCAGCATCACAGAACAAGCTGTTCAGAGCAGAGACACACCTGTCTTGTGAGGCTGCCACCCAGGTTCATGGTGCCAGAACCGGTCTTGGTCGTCTGGAGCCACAGCATGACAGTGGAGGTGAGTTTATAGTGAGCAGTGCGACCACTGGACTTCTCCTACAAACAAAAAATATATGAATATTATATGAAAAACTAACCAAGACTCAACAGAACAGCATGTAAACAAAACGGACCAGAACCAGCTCATCTGTCAGAACTGTTGGATGACTATTTGGGTGACTGAACCAGCATCTTTGGTCCAGAAGAGCATTCAAGGCCAGTTAGATGTTCCCTAGGGCATTTCCAACACAAGCTACAATAGTTTTATAAAGAGGACAGATGTGCTACTGAATGTTTGGTAAAGTTAGTCATGGAGTTCCTCAGGGTTCAGTGATGGAACCAAGACTCTTGGACCTCACAGGATAAATGCTGATGATGGTTATCTTCATCTCTGAAGCCTCGTGATCAGACTACAAACATGTTTAAAGACATAAGAGACATAAAAACCTTTATTTTGTTTTTAAATGCAGACGAGCTTATTTATGGACCCGAGCCCTTTGGGAACAAAATGAGTTATTAGGTTCCTCTGGATGACATTAACCTGTCTTCTACCATCACAAGGAACCTTGGTGTTGTGGATCAGGACCGTCTTTTAGCTCTAATACAGAAACATGTTGCTAGGACTGCCTTCTTCCGTGTTGTTGCTACATTTTTGGAATATCCTGACCCAGAGTGACAGCCTGGCCTGCCAGACTCCTGCTCTGTTTAAATCTGCACAGAGAAAGGGTCTGGGAACTCTCCTATTCAAATAACCCCACCCCCTGAGAATTCTAACCGAGCCAATCAGCGCCGAGTAGCGTACGTCACACACCACAACGCCGAGTTTGTCATAAACATGGCGTCTGAAGAGGAGTTCGCTGCGGCTCTTTCCTCTGTTCTAAATGACTTGAACGTGTCTTTAAAACCACAAGTAGAAGCACTAAAAGCCTTTCTTCTAAAACAACTAAAATTCTCTCTCTCTCTCTCAAAATATATATATATATATCTCATCTAGATATATATATTGATATCTATATATATCTATAGATATCTATATATATCTCTATATCTATATATCTATATCTATATATCTATACACACACACATATATATATATGTTTGCGTCGTTGCAAGATGCTATTTTTGACCACAGCTAAAAACTACAGCATCGCGCGGTACAGTCGGCATTTTCATCTTTTTTCTGATTGGTTATTTTTGAGCTGCCTAGTCCCACCCCTCAAGTGCCTCTCTGCCTGTGTGTTACCAGACTCTCTGTGCAGAATTAAGCAGAGGACGAGTCTGACAGGCCAGGCTACCAAACTGATGCAGAAACAACTCATTTGCATTTATTGCATCTCCATGTTTACTGCAATTAGCACGATGTTTAAAAGGTTTTTAAAGAGGCCTTCAGCTGATCCAGAATGTTGACGCTGGTTCTTTTGGGTTGCATGAGAATTTCTCCAGTTTTAGCATCGCTTCAGTAACTCTGAATTTGGAAAAAGCTCTGAAAAATCAGGCTGCTTCTTATTTTTGAGTGCTTCTTTTTCCAGGTGTCCTCAACCAAACACTCCTTTCTCCTTTCTTTTGGTGGTCACTTTGCTTTTGAAAAACTGCTAAAACATAAAACATTCTCCCATCACAGGAAATTATTAAAGCTCAGATTAAAAACCATAAAGTCAGAAACAAAACCAGTTTCTGCTCACCTGCACTTCCACCACATGGATAGAGTCCCAACACCCTTTTATCTTCTTGGATCCATCCCCCGCCTTTTTAATGAGAATTACTCCAGCAAAACCGTGATCCAAGTCCCACAGGTACACAGAGGACACGCCCCCTTCAAAGTACCTGAAGAGCAAATGTATGAAGTCTGAAAGCCCGTTGCAGAAATCCTGAGACGGACAGCCCTGCTAGTACTTACAAGTCTCTGTATTGGTCGAAGGCGTTATTAGCTTCGACTTCGAGTTTTCTCAAGCGAGCCGAAGGCATGGCTCCATCTTCAATAGGGGGTTCATACTTATTACTCCACGGGGATCTAAAGGAGAACACGTAACAGAATGGAATGTCAAGGCGGTTCTAGAATAAGGGAGAAAAAACACCAGGAAAGGTCTAAAGACTGGCTGAAGCACAACCAATCAGGATCACAAAATATAATCATTAAATCAGTCCATAAAAGTGGAGAAGGATGATGTCACTAAACAACTGTGCACGAATAAATGCTCACCATTAAAACTCATCTTTACAAGATGAGAAAAAGACTTGATGAGTTTTGGAGCCAAAAGAGAAAGTAGTTTTATGTTGTTGGCAAAATGTTTCCCATTAGTTTTACAACTTACAAATCAGACCATTCATAATACAAAAGAGAGAATAGCTAAATAAAAACCAGACATCCTGAGGGTAGATCAAATTAATGTCTGGCTTAAAGTCTTAAATTACACTAATCATCTTTAGTTCTTGTTGAGCCAATGTTCAGCTTGTAAAAAGACAATTACGATGATATCTTTTAAAGAATTGATCATTTTGCTCAACTATAAAGGATATGTTCAGCATCTAATGACTCCATATGATGTACAAAAACCACAAATGACTACTTTCATGGTAAAAAAAAATCAGAATATCATACCATCTCTAAATAGTCCAACACTTTTGAAAGCTTTAATCATTTTCCAGGTAACATAACACAAGGGTTAAACATGTAAAGTGTGTGTGTGTGTGTGTTCTTTGCAAACTGCAGACATAATTGTCCTCCTAAACTCCACCTGTAGGAGTCGCCGTCTCGGTTATAATCACAGAGCAGGTAGTCTTTCCCCACTACCTTGTCCCGAGCAATTTTCAGGGGCTGGTCAACCGAGGAGAGCAGGTCCTCACACAGACTGGGTACCTGGAGGCAAACGCACAGAAAAAACAGGTGATAAGGATAATTCAGATCCAGATTAGCTTTATTAATCCTCCAGGAAGTTCAGTTTTCCAACAGTAATCTCTAATTTCCCTCTGGGATTAATAAAGTATCTTTGATTGATTGACTGAGCAGGTCATCCACAGAAAAAACGGTTTCAACAAGAAATTTTATGTAGAAAACAACAGATTATTGAAGAATACAGTCTAATAAAATATACAAAAATAAAGTAAAACAGCTGCATCTAAATGTCACTCTTCCTTAAGGAAAACATGCAAGATAACATGAACTTTGACTTTTTTCCTGGGTGGGTGGGGACGACGCAGAGCCACAACTTCAACAGAAAAATAAAAGTAAAACAAAAGTCCACATTCCAGTTGCATCCATCAGCCAGAAGAGTTTGGATTAAAAACATAACAGAAATGTAATATCCAAGAGATAAGAGTCTACAAATTAGTTCTCACAGACCGACATTGGACCCTACCACCCACCCCAATTCTGTGCTCCTGCATCAGAGCAGACACAAAGGAGCCCGTTATCCAGAAAGGTCACACACACACACACACACACACACACACACACACACACAAACACACACACACACACACACACACACACACACACACACACACACACACACACACACACACACACACACACACACACACACACACACACACACACACACACACACACACACACACACACACACACACACACACACACACGAAGTGGGTCAAGTAGGACAGGTGCAGGATAAACAGGAATGAAAATTGTGATTTTGGCTGTTTGTGGGTGATGGAGGAGTTTCAGCTAGGCAGGAGCCAAAAAAAAAGAAAAGAAAAGAAAAAACTTGGCAGCAAAGGTGATTGACAGCTGGGATAATAATCATTAATAACCGGACACAGTGGTCTTGGAGTAAGAAAAGAGCAGATGTCCAGAGGAAGAAGGGTTAAAGGTGAGAGGAGAACAGGTGGGGGTCCAAACAAGCGGATGTAAGCAGGAAATATGAAGGTACAAGTGTGACTTGATTTATGTCCAGTCTGGACAAATTCACTTAAATTCAAAAACATTTTTAAAATTAGCTTAAATCTGATCATAACTTCTGTCAAATGGTGAAGGAAATCCACAATAAGGTACAAAGGTGAGCAAAAATAGTATAAAGCGTAACCCATTTAAACGACAGAACCCGGTTAAAGATTGAATTTAGGCTAGACTCTGGCCGAGCCTTTGTCCTCTAAGGAGGTCGGACCAGATTTCATGGACAGTAACTCACCAGGTCAATGAGGTCGCTGAGGTTCTTCTCAATCTGCTGAGGAGGCAGACGCCTCATCAGGTCCAGAGCACAGTCCAGCTGCTGGTCATTCTGAAACAAACACCCACAGGGAGACCCCCGTCAACACAATAGTTCAGGAAATGCAGCTTTTACTGTTTATATTGATAGTTAGCTTCATTGTGCAGAATGACTCAGCAGATCCACTTTAACCCGTTAAAGCCGGATGCACGAAATACAAAACTTCATTTATTTTAAAGGACTCATCTATGACAACAAAATATTAGGTATACAACACTACAACAGAAGTAAAGTATTACTGGCACTTATGTCCTGCAGCACTTGTTCTTCCACAGGGAGACAGAAAACTAATTCAATGGAGCTGAAGATTGAGGACACTAATCCTGTTAAAGAGATAGAGACCCGTGATTCTGATCGGTTTACTGCTGGATGGTAAGAAAAAAAAAAAAAAGAAAAAAAAAGATACTGATGTCTTAGAAATTAGTAGAAAAAAATACACATTCAGCAGTATCTCCCTTCAAGTGTCAAAAAGTAATGAGTTAAAATATAACCCCACTGTATGATAATAAAAGGGTGAGCAGAATGTTAATTACTTAAGAATATTGTAGCTTAAAGTGACGATGCGCATTTATCCTGACGACGGGGGCAGTACATACCTAAATCATTGCAAGCAAGCACTATTTTTGTGTTAGAGTACGACCTTTCCAACGGAGGAGGGCCATTAGGGTCAAAAAGCCCCGAGAGCGCAACCTCCACCAAATAAGCACACCAGACTCCCTTTCATCACTGGCAAGAAGTGAAAATGTAAATGTGTAAAAACGATTATGAATGGAAAAGTTTTGTAACCATTTGTTACAAATCAGCAAATCCATTTTGTCCTCATGGGCTCCCATAGAAGGAAACATGGTGTCTAATATGGCGTTGACCCTAAAGGAAAGATATGCTGTGACAATTTTTTCCTTTCTTTTCCAGTTCATATCTCCACCTCCATCTTCTCTACCTGCACCCTGCTGTAACTGCAGATCACAACTTCTCAAACCTTGATGTTTGAGAATCTTCCTTCTCCAACATCATGGTCCATGGAGACTCCTGTCTGACATCTGTCAGCCTGTTCATCACCAAAGAAAACGATAAGTTGCTCAGAGCCGATTGTTGATGCAGTCCCACTTCCACCTTGAACGCCTAACTCCTACAGCTGTCTCACAGCGCTCACACGTCCTCTGCCACTCCAGACCTCATGCACCACAACTCCTTTCTCAGCACCATCATATGCTTTCTCTAAATCTACAAAAATGCTCATCCTTCTGACCTTAGCTGTACTTCTTCAGAATTATTAAAGCAATAGTAGCATTTTCAGGATACTTGGTTGGCATCAAACCATTCTGCTGCTCATAAATGCTCAATTCTGACCTAAGCCTGGCTTCCACTACACTTTCTCAGAATGTCATTAGCATCATTAGCTTTGTTCTGAAGTCCCCACAATTCTGTTAGCTACATCTGCTGCCATGTTTTAATCATATAAACAGAAAAGAATAGTCTATTAATCCCAGTGGGGAAATTCACTTGTTACATACACTTGGGCAAGACACTTAACCCACCTTACCCGCTGGTGGTGGTCGGAGGGACTGGTGGTGATTTGTGCTAATATTTTATCAGATTGATATCGGCATGATCGGTTAATACTGAAGACTGCAATGTCTGTATCGTATCAGATGTAAAAAATAAATTAAAAAAGTTGTACCAGGACATCTCTAGTATGAATGGATGAATGACACTAGTGTAAAGCGCTTTGGAGTCCCTCTGACTGAAAGGTGCTATACGAGTGCGGATCATTTATCATTATTTGTAACTTTTGTTGGAGATGGCTCTACTCTGTCAATGATGAGGCTTTGAACCGCCAGTTGGACATTGTTTTGAATTTCTGTCTGACAAAAGCGTTTACATGCTTAATCAGCACATATCATTGGAATCATAAGAATCATAGCCAATATGTATACATAGTGTTGTAAATAGATGCTGTATTGATTTGGAAGTTTGCAATCTGTGTCCATCTGACTAATTCATAGGCATTAGGGTTGTCACGGTGTGAAAATTTATCCTCACGGTTATTGTGACCAAAATTATCACGGTTTTCAGTATTATCGCAGCATTTTTTTAAACATGTTAAATTTTCAGGAAACTAAATAAACCCTGTATATCAGGAAAATATTGTCCTCAGTTTGTGTCTAAATTTTATCTACAATGTGTTATTTTGTAATTATGTTGTTTATTTGTTTACATATTTCCCCTTTAGTCTTTTAAATACCAATATTTGTCCATAACTTCTTATTTTTTGTCTGTTTGATGTCATCATTTAAAAAATATTAGATCAGATTATACTCAGTACTCAAGTAGCCTTCTAATCAGATACTTTTTTTTACCCTTACTTGAGTAATAAACCCTGTATCAGGAAAATATCGTCCTCGGTTTGTGTCCTTCCAGTGAGCTTTGCAGATGTGGGAAAATGTCATCAGGCAGTAATCATTGTTAAATTCATAATTATTCTTGGAGAGAGACCAACTCTTATCTGCCCCTGGGAGCCCCGTAATGCATAGCGTCATTTCAACATGGGGGTGTCCGCGACACGGTTTATATGCAGGTAGCGGCGCTGCGGCTGCTTTATATAGCCACTCGTTGCATTCTCCCTCAACCCAAATCCTCGGATCACGCATTTTAGCTAAAACGCTAACGTTAGCTTGCCTTGCGTTGACTGTAGAGTTGTGGGTGATGGTCACGCAGATGTGTCATGAGATTTGAAGCGTTGCTGCCTTTCACAGACACTTTTTCTGCACGTGCTGCAAACAGGATAGCCGTCTATCAACTGTCTCTCGGCATTCTTCAGATATCCAAAAATGCCCGTACTTCCCACTTTGTCTTCTTTGAGGAACAATAAATGTCCTGCGCGCTGCCGTCTCCTCCTTTGGCCATTATTTCAGCTTTAGCTTCAAGAAAGTTTTGGTCGTAAACATCAAAGTGCGCATGTGCCGCCGGCAACTTCAGCAGATGATACGGTGGCTGGTAAGGGTCACCACGCCTACACCGCAGCCACGGTAATCCACCGAGATAATATAGTTTTTTTTAAAAACAAGACGGTTATTATTATAGTCAACTTTTTTACCGGGGTTTACCGCTACACAGGTTACCGTGACAACCCTAGGCATATAGCTCAAAAATCCTCCAATAATTCATCCAGTCGCCCAGCCTTATAACCCACATATTCATGATTGTAACCCAACGCTGTCATCTTGGAGACTGTTTAAAATCAAAGACGATCACGGAGGGGTTATGCCTCCTTTTAAGAAAAGAGTGGATCAGTAAATGAAAGGATCAGTAACAAGAGAAAATATTCACACCCTTCCAGGCAAACTCTAAACAGCACAGAGGGTATACAGATGCTGCATTTGAACAAAGGAGTGCTCATGACTTGTCATGTGAATGTTTTTAAGATGATGGCAAGACTGGTTAAAAAAACTGCTTTTTAACACAATACTGGAGGCTATAGCAAAGTAAATGAAGATCTGACCACCAAATGCATCATTGCAACTTTGACAACTCCTCCAGCATTTTCCCAAATATTCAACATAATAACATTTAAATCTCCAAAGAGCACCAACTGGAAATTTTAATTACTTGAACATCTAACTGGACATTATTCAAACTGATAAGGAAATTGTTCTACCAGAAACCAAATGATCTTGTGACTGGTGTCCAACAAGGAGTTTGCTGCACTGCTAAGGCCCCTGTTGGTGTTTCACTGGGCTCTTTACAAAATTAAGAGGTATCTTCTCCCCCGATATTAATGTGAAGTAATTAATTATGGCAAAGTAACGTGCACCACGATCAATTATCTACTGGGTTGGATTAGACAGCACCTGTTGTATTTTATTCCAGTAGGAAGTAAATAAACACTGGCCTTCTGTAGCAGGAAAGATAAAAAAAAAACATTTAGTCACAACCAGTTTAAACTAAACATCTCAGGCTGACGTGAAAAGTAGAGAAGCTAAAATTCCTTCAGGTTTATAAGTAATGATCTCTGAAACACACTTGAGATTACACAGCATCCTCTTCTCATGGGGAGGTCCCGCACCATAAACGTTAAGTATTAGGAATTTCACATCTGGGTCGGGCCGGCCTAACCCTGGTATGTATTTTGAATTTACATCTGGGTAATCGGTGCATTTTTCATGCTCAGCCAACCGGATTTTTCAGACCTGCTCCTCGGCGGTCCGCTTTGTGCAGAACCGACCCAACGCACCCACTACCTACTGATTAGCCGGCTGAAGTTCATGCCTAACTAGAGGGAGGCTCTGATTGGCGACTAGAATCAACCAGCAGCGATTCCTGCATGCACGATTCATTATCAGTCAATTGGAGAAAGAATCTTCTGACTGCAACTCAGAATCACCGCTCCAGCCACGGTAGCACGAGAACAGACCGCTGTGAGGAGCACACAGCAGTCTCAGTGAGAGAGTAGGAAGCGGTGTGCTTCATATCAGAGTCTCCAAAAGCAACATGGCTCACAGCTGCTTTTGTTTACCAACTTAGAGAAAACACCACGGACTTCTATGTGCATCTTTTGCCCAGGCCACATGGTTGGAGACATCAGCATTCCTTGCAGGGATGCATGTGTAATGTTGAAATTCTGGCGATACGATACATATCACGATACAGGGGAGACGATACAATATATCACGATATATTGCGATACATTCAGTCAGACGTTACAAGCAATTTTTTTTACTGAATTTATTGTAAGAATGTTCAATAAACAGTCCAAACTGATACGCAACATGTTTAACGTGAGGTATCAGAACCATGATGGAGGGATTTACATTTCAGTGGTGGAAACAAAACCTGTTGCACACTGCTGCCAACTAGCGGGTGGCGATTGAATTGCACAAAACGAAAAGAAAATGCACAAATGTTTGCATGTAAATTCTTTCAAGAATGAGATACACAGCTTTTGAATATCGATGTAATAATCACAGGAAAAAATACCACGATATATTGCCATATTGATATTTTCTTACACCCCTAATTCCCTGAGAAGGCTGTGTGAACAAAACCTGGCTGCGCAGAGATGGGCCAGCCCAACCTAGACTGCCATATGAGACAGGACCTTAGTGGGCAGACCAGTTGCAACAGGAAACTGTTTTAAGGAGTGACATTTTTAAGGTGAGATAACAGGCTGCAGAAGTGTCTACACATGTTTTCATCCAACCTTTACCAGACAGACAGAAACAAAGTCTTCAGAGATCACATGTAAATCTTATTGCTCCAGCACTTACATAGTTAAGGTGCTAAAATATACACTAAAACACAACAGATTACACCTATGTGTGCCCTTAGTTTGCAAAAAAGTCAAAGAATTGTTGAGCTATGTATATGCTTCTTTTACGCTCTCGTTTTTGTCATGCTTTTATTTTGAAGGTGTTAAGAGTGCTTACGTGACTTCCTGACTCCAAACAGGTTGGTCAGATGAAATTTAAGGTAATGTGTCTCACCTGTGTGTGTGTGCAGAGAGATGAGTAAAGCGTTCTGAGACTTCTCTTCCTCTGTCTTTGTGAACTAAGTTGAACCGCTGATAAATGTAAGCTCTGCTAACAAGAATGACAAACGACACAAAACCCAATCCAATGCTCCTATAAACCAACAATAAAGTATGTTGAAACAGAAGAAAAACAAACAAACCCCTATCTCAACAAAATGTGTTATACCAGATTAATTCACTTCCCTTACAGATGTAAACAAAACCATCTAACATGGGTAATCCACACCTGAAGTGTGCAAACATACTAAAGTACATAAGAATGCATCAACCATCTGGTACAAGAATAATGACATGCTACAAAGCAGAGAGCCCTCTGAGCATAAATATTTTCATTAAGGCTAAAACAGAACATAACAGATGTTTATAGGAAGTGTCTCGCATAAAATCTCCCGTCACAAAGGTCACTTTTTAAAATCAATTTCTAACTGATGAATCACTCTGCTTCATTAAACACCCGTGTTTCTTGACAATGCATTTACAAGTGCTGCTGTCTTCGTGTAAACACCGATCAGACGAGCAACTTCTGGGGTCATAGGAGAACAGACTAAAGACGGGGGCAGCTGTTCTACTTGGTTTAGTTCCTGTTGACGTCAAACAGTCATGCTGCCTACTTGTGGAAAGAAAATGCTAAAAAACTGGATGTAAAATGAAGCTAGTAAAAGGGTTTGAGTAGAAAACAAATACGTTTGAATTTTAAGAGATAAGCATCATATCTATTAACAAATACCACCCTCTGCATTGTATTGTGTGTTTGAACTTTTGTCAGGAAACAAACGCGAGTTGCTGAAACTTTGGGCAACAAATTAACTGAAGCAGAAAAGAGATTCATATTATCTCAGTGTTATGGAAAACCTGTTTGATATCACTTGAATGGAACAAGCACTCATGCGGTGTTAAGTGAATGAGTCTTGTCAAACTAGTAATTCAGATAAATAACAAGCATCTTTTTGGTTCTCTGGAGTCACCACGAGACTAAAAAAAGGCTTACAGAGAGTTTGGAAAACTTAGAACATTAAAATATGTTGCTAAACATAGAAAAATATTGCAGCAACTGTTTTATTACATTTTTAAATAATTTCATTAACAGTTAATATTCTAACCCTTGTAACTTTTGCTGTTATTTTCACACATATCTGGGGTTCATACAATTCAATAGATTAAACAGTTAGAAAAATTCTGTCATTTTGTTTAGTTCAATATGTTTTATGGATTAATTTGACATAACATACAAAGGTAACCATATTTTAAGGCTGACGAGAATAAAATTAGACTAAAAATAAGTCATGTGAACATGGAGACTGGGCTGGACTGGGTGTCAGACCTATCCAGGAAAATGTAGAGAAAGGCAGCCAACTTGTCATGATTAGAAATAGTAGGAGCAAGCGCTCTTATTTTAGCTGCGAGCCACTCCGTGCTTGGCTGTTTCAGCCAGAGTAAAAGGGTGGATGAACTGTGTGAGTGTGTGTGAGAGAGAGAGCTAAATTAGGATTGATCCCTGCTGCAGCAAACTTGTGTCAAATACAAAACATCCTGTGTTAACTTTACCTATGAGGCAAGTAGATTGACTACTGTTAGCAGGAAGCTAACTAGCAACTTAGCCATGAAGCTAAATAATACTTTTCGCCACGCAGAAGTTCTGCTAGCCACGCAAGTTGGATGCACTCAGTGATTTGTGCTCCGTGCTCCTCTCAAATTACCACCCAGCTCCTCCAACCAGCAGCTGAGTGAAAAAGCAACCGCAGCCAAAGCCTAAAACCCCATCTCCAACCAGCTTCTCCGAGGGCCTTACCATTTCTGCGGCGGTCTCAGCGGGGATCGATATCACCGATGACTGTACACCTTAGCTTTGTGGTGATTTGCCAACGTACTTCTCTGGTCTCTTGTCGTTTTTATTTATACTTAGTACCCCGCGGAAGATGTTTTGTTCGCCTCTCCCTTTCTGAACCCAGCCCTGTCAGCGAAATTTACTTCCTCAACCCGGGCTATAGGAAGGAGGCTGCGGTGAGAAAACAGGCCCCGCTTGTACATCCGGGTCACTGGGGGTTAGTTTGCATCAGCCAATAGCGACGGAGCAAGAAAGGCATTGCCAAGTATGGAAAGAGATGAGCTTAGCAGCAAATATGCAGCCAGGGAGGGCGGAAGATGGACAGCTACTGAAAAAAAAACTATAATTGCAAACTGAAACTACAAATAAATAATAATAACAACATAAAAACCTGTCATCCATATTACAATTAAAATTCTTCCTGTCAACATTTATATAATTAGAACTGAACATTATCATTTGAAACTGGCCGTGTTCAGAAATTTAGTTTTGCTCAGTGACCGTAGAAAGAGGTTTTGCTGTTTTATGCATTCTTTATCAAGGTTGTTTCATAGAATGCTTAGGCAATGTTATTCAAATATAGGTCTGCAAGTCATAAATTTCAGACTTCATGAATCATGAGAGGATTAATAAAAAAATGATAAATCAAATGCAAATAAAAGAATTTGTTTAATCAAAATTTTAAAAAGATGCTCAGTTACTGAAAAACTAAACATACCTGTGTTTTGAAATCAGAACAAAATGTAGGACACATCTGACACATCTTTATTTATTTATAGTAAATGGCCTGCATGTGTTCTCATATACCTTCTAGAGTTCTACAACCCTCCAAGGCACTTCACAACACAATCAGTCATTCACCTGTCCCACCCCCTCCCCCAACGTTTTCCAATGACATTTTTTTGTCCTCTTCACTTTTTACCATCCAAAAACAATATCACGCTGTATTAAATAGACATTGGTTGACCACTAAGACCAAGCAGAAAACAACCACTTGTGTTTACGCCTGTTTCTCATTAGAACCATCCATGAGCTCATCTATTGGCTCTGCTGATACTTACTAACGTGTGATTGGCCATTCTTGTTGTCGTTCCAGGTTGTAAACAGGATGTGCTTTCATCATCGGGATCTCCTGATAAATCCCTGCTTGATCAGGCGCTCCCCTCCCAGATTCGCCGGCGCCACAAACGATTCTCAGGTGGATTCAATCCCATATCGGTAATCAAGGCTTATGCACACCTGTAGGCAGCCCTTGTTAATCGATGCTAGATAAATGAGAATGGAAGTAAAGGACAGAGCCTCGTTCTTCATCTAGACATCCCCCCATGTCTAAAGTCAAAACCACATCCTTGCATTCACCCATGCACAAACACATTCACACGGTAGTGATGATTAGCTACAATGTAGCCACAGCTGCCCTGGGGTGCACTGATGGAAGTGAGGCTGTCTAGCACTGGTGCCACCAGTCCCTCATACCACCACCAGCAGGCAAGGTGGGTTAAATGTCTTGCCCAAGGACACAACAGCAGAAGATCAATCCTACAGCCCTTCTGGACAATCGGCTCTACCTCCTGAGCTACTGTTTGCCATTTCAAAATAGTCATGTAAACAAAATAATGGTAAAAAAAATGTGCTCCATTTTCCAATAAAATGTATTTTCTTTTAAATGAGATTCGATCTTTATGACTCACAGTTTTCACTTTTGGCAAGGTGAGAGAGCATATTTTGAAAGTATCAGAAATGTTGCTGTCAAAGAAATTAAGAACGTCCAATAACTTCTTTCAATAAATGTAATAAAACACAACTCTGGGAAATCTAAAAAAATGTACATTTTACAAAAAGAAAACAGGGAAAACTTAAATTTAACAACAAGACCAACAGTCTACACTAAACAGGTGTGGAACAAATTAAGCAAACAGATGAAGTGTGTTTATTTTTATTGGCATTATTGTTGTCAGTGGTGCAACTGATGAAAGCTAGTATTGGTAGTAAAGGTGTTTTGTGTTTGCTTTGTCTTTAAAAATGGTTTGTTTGCATTTGCAACTGAATTGCCATCAATTTATGCCAATATGTAATTTCAAACTAACTTTGATATTAAACACATAAAGTATTCATTTTTTTCTTATCAGTAGTTTTTCTTTAAAAAATGAACATTTATCAGAAATAAATAATAATAAAATACATGCTCAAATGCTAATTACCATCATGGCTTTGTACAAAAGTATTTTTTGCACCAAATGACAAGTCAAAATCAAGTGCATATTATTGAACGTGAGAGCTATTTTTCTTCTGGTATCTGCCGTCTAAAATAAAAAGTGGGGAAAAATATCAAATAATGGCTGGATGAATAATGTTTATTTTTTGTAAATTTTAACATTCCATTTTCCAAAACATCCCACAATCAAAAAGGAAACAGATATAAAACAGAAATTGATCATAAATAAGTTGGATTGCACGTTATTAGCAACAACTGAAGAAAGAAAATACAAATGGTTGATTTTGTTTATCAAAAGGTTTTCCCAATTTCTCAAATTATGTTATATCTATTTAATTAATTAAAATAAATTAAATTATGTGTAATTGCCATAACACATAACATTACCTCCTCCTTGCACCCTATGATGCTAAGAGCTATGTTGTCTGGGGCACCACGAAGAATTTGTGCTTAGGGCACCAAAATAGCTAGCAACGGCCCTTGGGGATGAGAATCAGCACCTCCACATCTGAGACCATGGTTCTCGACCGGAAAAGGGTGGCTTGCCAACTCTGGGTCGGGAGAGAGGTCCTGCCTCAAGTGGAGGAGTTTAAGTATCTCGGGGTCTTGTTCACGAGTGAGGGTAGGAGGGATCGGGAGATCGACAGGCGGATAGGTTCGGCGTCTGCAGTGATGCGGACGCTGAGCCGATCTGTCATGGTGAAAAGGGAGCTGAGCCAGAAAGCCAGGCTCTCGATTTACCGGTCGATCTACGTCCCAATCCTCACCTATGGTCATGAGCTTTGGGTAATGACCGAAAGAACGAGATCGCGGATACAAGCGGCCGAAATGAGTTTCCTCAGTAGGGTGGCCGGGCTCAGCCTTAGAGATAGGGTGAGGAGCTCTGGCATTCGAGAGGGACTCGGAGTAGAACTGCTGCTCCTCCGGATCGAAAGGAGTCAGTTGAGGTGGTTTGGGCATCTGGTCAGGATGCCTCCTGGACGCCTCCCTGGGGAGGTTTTTTGGTCATGTCCTGCCGGCAGGAGGCCCCCGGGTCGACCCAGGACACGTTGGAGAGGTTACATCTCCAATCTGGTCCGGGAACGCCTGGGGGTCCTGCCGGAGGAGCTGGTGGAGGTGGCCGGGAAGAGCACGGTCTGGAGCTCCCTAGTTAGGATACTGCCCCCGCGACCCGGACCCGGATAAGCAGAGGAAGACGACAACGACATAACATTACGGTTAATTAATGTTGATAACAAAATAACTTCACAACACCACTTTATAATCTGTCTATCTGTTGACTTGAAATGGGAACTCTGATACTTCATTTAAAAAAGTTTAATGAGATTTAAAAAATCTATTTGTTTGTGTCAAACTGCACTGATTTATAATAGTAGATAAATACAATTACAAACATCCAGACCAAGCCCCCACAATGCGGCTCAAAAATTGAGGCCAACCCGGAAGTACCAAAAATTGCAGTTCCACCCTCATCCGCTGGGGGCTGGTGTCAGAAGAGAGCAAATCCTCATTGACTCCCATGTTAAAAATACCAATTTCACAGCAGAAATAAACATGTTTACAGCCTGGTACCAAAACATGTTTTTGGTTTAAATTATCTAGTTTACACTCATGACAACTCTGAGGGGGGTAAATTTTTTTCTCACTGTTCTGTTTATGTGTATTAAAAGCCTAAAATTCTATATATATATATATATGTGGCATTAATTGCACTAATAGAGCGTCCAAGGAGTCTCCACTTCATTTTTTTGGTAAGTAAAATTATATTTATGTATTTTAGGTCACTGCTGAGCTGAGCTTAGATTTTAACGTGTACTGTTTAACCATGAAATTTAAATGCAATAGGGTAAAACCCAGTGCATTTAACATAATGCTGCACTTTAGAAAATAGGTTGAAATATAACATGTTGGCGGAGCTGGGTTCCGACTATCGGCTAGTGGAGCTCTCGAGAGACCGATGTTTTCCACCCGTTTCTCCCCTCCCTGCAGCTCGGTCCAACTCTGTCTGATCGTGGCTTCTGTCTGCTGCGCGGGCTGCCGGCTTGTGATTCTCCCCTCCCCGCAGCTTGGCGCATCTCTATCTGATCGCGGCTTCTGTCTGCTGCGCGGGCTGCCGGCCGGCTTGTGGTTCTCCCCTCCCGGCAGCTCGGCGATGCGCCGAGCTTTCGGGAGACCTCTGTGTTCCACCCGGTTTTACCCAACGGTCAGCCCAGCGTATCTCTGACTCAGAAGCCCTGGTGTTGTGCACAGTTAACTCCGGTTGTAGCTAGGTTGCTACCTCCGTTAGCTTAGCTCCCACCTCCGTGTTAGCTTTGGGTTAGCTTCAGGTTAGCTTGACCGGGTGACGTCAGTTGATCCCAGCCTTACACCCACTCCCTCAGCTCCACCTCTCTTCCCTTTTGTGGAATTGTCTGGGCTTGAGAGAACCTGTGACACGGTCAAAATGGAGGTGGTGGCCACCTCCCATTTAGCTTCAAAAACGTGTTATTGGAGGCTATGGAAACCCATTGTCCAATATTTATATGTCGATGGTCCAGACACATAAATGGCCGTGTTCGAGATGAGCCAGTTCTGCGCAGATTAGATCACGATGATCGGCGCGCAGTGCTTGCCGGTTAGATTTGCGTCTGACTTGACGCCGACTTGCTCTGACGTCATGCCTACGTAGGCAACGACAACCTCGTGAGATCAAGGCAGCCGCAGATTTTGCAGCAAGGTGCTGCAGTTGCTCTCCACCGGCTGCAAAACCTAGGGCATGACGGGAAACGCCTGGCTCTCACCTGATCTAAGTTCTGATTGGTTCACATTTTGATCCAAACATCCGTGGTGGTTGAATGCAAAATGTTAGTTGGTCACATGTATTCTATAAATCATGTAAAGTTGATGATGACAACAATATAGGCCATAAAGAGGAATGTCATTTGTGTTCTTTTGTCACGTTTCCTATGAGCACACTAAAGCTACAGCTGATAACCTTTACTTATAATTACAGTCATATCTCCATATACAATATATTACATCCACAAGCACGTGAGGATGTTTCAGTTGCTAACAGGCACCAGAAAATAAATAATTAAACAAGTATGAACTCTAACGCGATATCTTCATCCATCGTCACCCACGAGCTAGGGAAATCTGTCCGACTTTTAATGCCGGCTTTCAACCACTCCCTCTGCTGCGTCCGTCTGCTCTCCTCTGTTTTCCAGGCGAGGCGCAGCAGAAATAAATAAATAAATAAATAAATAAATAAATAACTCGAACACGGCCAATGACATAGCGGTCCTTAGTGTTTCTCTCGCGAGACTTGGAGCTCCATGACCTCAGAAAACATGGCGGACGAATACGGACGGAAATGGGATCGCTGTCTCGCTGATACAGCCGTGAAAACAGGTAAATATCTCCTCTTAAATGTTGTGCTATTATTTTTTTGCTGCAATGCTGAGATTTTTAATAGTTTATCGCACTAAATGTAAAGTGTGAGCTACTAGTGAAGGTTTTTAGCAGCTTAATCTGACCACGCGGGGCCAGTTAAGGTCAAACTGGTGTGTGCTGGATGAAAAAACTGCAGAAGCTGTCAGGATGCTGACACATAGGTCCACTTTTACAGTCGGGGCTTTGCAGAAAGTACTGCATCAGTTAGGATGTTAAAGTTTATGAGAGCACATTTAGATGAAAACCAAACAAGTCTAATTTGGAACAGCTGCCTGAAGAAAACATGTTTCTTTTAAAATAACATGTCAGCATGGCTTAAGTTTGCAAAATTTTGTCTGAACAAACCACAGGAACTTTGGCACTACACATTTTATAAAGTAAAGATGTTTAGCTGTTCTTTACTGAAGCATATTTCATGTAAAACTCAGCTTAACAGTTGTCAAACATGGTGGTGGAGGACTGATGGTTTTGCCCCTGCAGCCACAGAACCAAGGCATTATTCAAATCCCTGAGTTCATCAGGAACTCCTCTGTGTACCAAAGTATTCTAGAGTCAAATATGGGGCCATCTGTCTAACTCTTGCTGCTTGACCAGGTCACACTCTACAATATGATATGGATCTCAATTTGAGCTGCATCTTTAGGAGTTGTACATAAACAGATGCTTCAAATTTAAAAACCTTCAGCAATGGTGTAAAGAAGAATGGGACAAATGTCCTCCATATTGTGAAGTAAAGTACTGATAAGATTATCCTGAATTTGATTAGTATAAATTATTGCTGCTTACCTTCTAGTGCTGTAGAGTTTAGATCAAGAACAAGTTTTATTTTTATTTTCATTCTTCCAATTTTGATATCCTCATATCAGTGTTGATCAATTTCCTCTTTATGACTTCCCTTTCCTTTATCTGACATTTATTCCTCTAGTTTTTAATCTTACTAATTTAATAATAATAACAATGCATTGAACTTAGGGCTGCTCAATTAATCGAATTTTAATCACGATTACGATCTGAGTTTTGAACGATTATAAAAACAAAACAAGCCGATTATTTGCTCCTCCCGCTTGCGCTGCCCTGAGTTGCAAATGAAGCGCTCCTCCCACAGTGTTGCCAACTTAGTGACTTTGACACTATTTCTAGCAGCTTTTCAGACCCCCTTCTTGACTTTTTAACTTAAAAGTACCTAGCGAACACCTCAGAAACATCTCTGGTAACCCTTAGCTACTTTCTGGATAACTGTCGTCGTCATTTCCTGCAGGATAGCTAAACACTCCGCCTGCGCTCCGGACCGTTCTTCAGGACTTTAGGAAAGGGAATGATGTAGTGATGTGTCAGTTGCTAAAGAAACAGCTCTCGGAGCCAGCTCCTTGTTGGAGTAACCAGAGTGAGTGACACACACCGCACCTGCGGACTCCCGAGCCACTAAAAACGGCTAAATGTGCAGCGCGCTAAACACACGTGCAGCTTGCCCTGATTGCTGTGAGACCGGGTTGGGGGTGGGGGGTGCAGCTGTGGTTGGGACATTTATTACATCAACTGATGGACTTCTAAATAGTTTATAAATAAGGTAGAAATAAGTTCCACACGCTGATAAATAATAACTAATCTCTCTGAGGACACGGTGCTATTGTACTCTCCTACAGCACCTTGACACGACTAAATATGTATTATGCAACATTTTGTGAACATCAATTTATTTGTTATAAATGCCACTGTATAATTCCTGCTGTCAGTATTTGCAAGATATTGGTATTTGGGTCTGTACTGGTTAGACTTAAATGAGTTAAACCAAGGTCTGTAGCCCTTGGGTCATAAATTATGAGCTATAAGTATATTGGTCTTTTTATACTGGGAATCAGGAGTTCTTTTAGTGATCATCTTGTTTCTTATTTTTGTCCTGATTGTGCCCTGAGCAATTTATGACTGAATAAAAACAAATAAAATCAACATAAATTGAAAAATCGTCCTAAATAATCGTGATCTCAATTTCAGTCACCATAATCGTGATTATTATTTTTGCCATAATCGAGCAGCCCTACTGTACTGTACTCCCTAATGGAGTCCTCCAGTACTACATGTAGAGCAACAGCAAACAGACTCTGCCGGTTAAAAATCAAGTACATTCCCAGCCTTAATTTTATGTGCATAGACATAGACATTTAAGCTAGGTTTGATTGAAAATAGCAATGAAATTAGTTGCTTTTTAGAACAATCTAATCAAAAACTCCTTTTTTATATAAGTGTTTAGTTTTTAAACAATTTATTGAGTAAGAGATATTTTTTCTATTGATCTTTAAGCCAAACACGAACAGGAATATGTAAGTCCTTGTGTTTTAGAACTAGGGCCCGACCGATATATCTGCCGGCCGATATTATCGGCCGATATAGGGGTCATTAACACTATCGGCTATCGGCCAAAAAGATGGCAGATATTGCGCTAGCTATCCAGCAGATGGCGCCAGCTTTATGAACTCATGTTGTGTGGCTTCACTCCTGGGGGGGTGGAGCCACCGTCACAGCACACATGTAGCAGAGCAGCAGAAGCAATTCGGTCAAGCAGAGAGGACAGTGATGAAGAAGTAGGAGGTAAATCTTCAGTTTTAAGAATATTTGTTGTGTCAGTGGTAAGTTGAACGGTAAAATAAGCAATGACAAAAGTATGTTTCCCCTCAGCATGCTTCCTAAGTTTATTGTGTGCCTCGTGGCCTCGTATTGAAAAGTTAACCTGAAAAAATAAAATAAAACTGCCGCAGCATTACGCTCTATGCAGAGCTCACGCTGCTTCCCCTTTAGTCATGCAGGGCAGTAAGTAAGTAACATTGGCCTTTTTCTGGTAGACATTCTGGAATATTCTCAGACAATTTCCTCCGCTCTTCTTCAGCAGTCCTTTTCAAACTCACGCGGTTCACCCGTGGCTCGCGAAAAAAATAGTGCAGACGCCGAAACGATCGCTGCACGGCGCAGGCTGGAGCGCCGGCGCGCAGCGCTTCGGCGGCCCATGTGGCCTATAGAATAGGATAACAAGGGCGACAAATGAAGGCGGTCCCCATTTCGCGGCGCTTCGGCGGCACACGACCGTTGTCGCAGCTGAGGACGGGCGAGGGGGGGGTTGGCAACAAAGCAATGAAACTCTGTGCAGGGAGTCCCCCCTCCTCTCCGGGGGGGCAGCGGTAATACGAGAAAATAAACATCCCTCTCTACAATAGAATAAATGTATTGTATTTTTTCAGCCTTATATTTTACATAAGGCTTATACATTGCCACATACTAGTCATTTAACGTATCTCATTTTTATTTTCCTAATACTGTCGGCTTTGGAAAGGATCAAAACACAAAAGCGTAAAACTCCACCGACTCAGAAAACAAAAAACTTGAATGTTAGATTTATACTGACTGAGTTTGTGTGTTCTGTTGTTTTTGAGATTGCAAAATAAATCTTATTTGCATTACTTGGAAACCCTAGTGAGTTATTGAGACAGTTCTTTGGTGTGTAATATAGAAATAAGTTAGCATCAAAAAGGCAGAGAATGAAGGGTTTAATCTTAAGAACATTTGTATTTATTTCTTTTTTTGTGAGGGAGATTTATCGGCCATTATATCGGCTATCGGCCTTTGTTAAAAGTTTTATATCGGCATCGATCCCAAAATAAGCATATCGGTCGGGCCCTAGTTAGAACCGCAGCGTTGAGTGAAAACATTCGCCCGAGTTGCACAGCTTGAACCGTTAAGGTTAAGGAGCAGAGGTAAAGTTGCAGTATTCTGTCACAATGATTGTAAACGACTGCCTTATTGATGCCATTTGCTAAAAATAATTCAAATGATGAGTAACGGTGTAATTAACTGTCTCTGGACTTCATTTGGTGAGAATGATTTACGGTATTTTTTTTACTTTTGGGGGGCTGATGGTGGGGGCTGTACACGATACTCTGCTCAGTGCAAATGTTTTTGTTATAATCCAGTCCCCCAGGAGAAGCTCAGACAAAAGAAGGAGAGTGCAGGAAGCCAAAATGAGATATTGATCTGCCCTCAGATTTTTGCCAGAGCTTTCATTGTGTTACTGTCAGTGGAAAATCAGAGGCTTCAGAAACGCTCTGGCTGAAGAGCAAAGAGAGACTCGGGAGGTGAACCAGATGGAAAATCTTAAGTTTAACTGAGTCATTGCTTGAAATGGAAGTGGAGTTATGTGATATATTGTTGTTATGTACTGATAATAAAGATGAGCTGAGGTTTTTGTGGTCTTGTTTGACATGTGTAAGTTGTGTAATACGGAACAGTTGAGGGATCTGGGTAAGGCACGTTGGTCATGCATAGTTCTCTGAATCTAATTAGGAACCAGAGGGGCCCGAACGTCTGTTTTATGTGGTTTCTGTGCTGGATGAGGTGTGGCCTGCTGTGAGGTGATGCTAAAAGCATAAACGCATTCTTCATGATGTCCCTGTCCTATCTCAAGACTTCTACGGCCTGGTTCACATGGCAAGTTAATTATGCAGATTTTCTGACCCGATCCTTCCCTTCTGATAGTGTTAACGGCCCTAAAGATAATCTTATTCCTGCCGTGTGTGGTGTGGTAAGGGTGCTCTGGTGAGCTTGGAAAGATATCGGGGCTGCTCCAATCACGAATAGGGAATACTCATGTTGGATTGTCTTGGTCCATTTTCCAGAGCAAACGAGGATGCAGCCTGCTGAATGTGACTTATAGCCAGTCAGAAAGTGAGGTCACAAGAGCACAATACATGCTCATCCTTTGCCATGTTTGTTTACACCAAAGTCCCATTTGATCTTGTGGGATTTCTTGTCTGACCGAGGAATGTTGGTGTCTTTCCATGGGACTTTCAGTGCTGAATTCACAATAATTCAGAAGCATTTGTAGTATTGTTTTATTTCTGTGCATAACTTTTCCCTCGGTGTGTTTACACGCAGCATCAGAAAACGGAACTAGAAAACCAGATAAAACCTGCATGTCAACGACTCAGCCGAGCTGTGACTGGTTATACGACTCACCTTCCAGAAATGACAATAATATCATCGCCGTAATGCAACACCATCAAACACAGTACAGTACGTCTCAAAAAGGCTGTACAGCAGTGTTGTCCATTCCTTCAGCCATTGTGTTTGTTTGCCAGCGTTTTGCTATTTGTGTTGCTTTAGGCTAACAGGAAGAATCCATAGCGGAGTGGAACGCTGTAGATCGACTTGGATGCGCATGTAAACACACTGATTTACTGCTTTGTGTTTTTGTTTGTCTTCTAAGAGACACTAAAACATACTTTTTTCTTTCCTTACAGCAACGGGCCTTGGTGTCGGCATCGTGCTCTCCGTCCTTCTCTTTAAACGTAAGTATAGTGGAGTACAACTAGCTTTTGGTTTAAAAAACAGAGTTGATTGCTTTTCCTGCTCTAGGTCGAATGTGGCCTGTGTCATTCGGGTCAGGCCTGGGGTTGGGAATGGGATACAGCAACTGCCAGCATGACTTCAGGTCTCCATATCTGATTCATGGCCACACGGTAAAGGTGAATGCATGATGGAAAATGGACCGTCTTAGCAGGATTTGTTTTCCTACACTCTGAAATGTCATTTAACATGTTTTTGTCTTGTAACGGTTCAGGACTAATAAGGACAAAATGAAGACAAAGATGAGTTATTTTGTCACTCGCTGCTTACTTGGAACGAACATCTAACGATGCCTACAGTGTGTACAAAGAACAATGAATGTTGTATTTAATAAAGCCATTGTGTAGAGCTATTTTGTGCCTCTTTGTTTTATTCCTGTGTGAAAGTTTGAGGGGAACGAAATGTGGTTTTGTGGGTGGAAGGTAATTCTGTGTGTTAATGAGCTAGGAGACTGAAACTCCTGCTGTTTTGGAATGAGAGCCAGGTTCAGCATCTGCAGCCTGAGTGGGAGTATGAACAGTTGTAATGAATGATGGAGCAAAGACGTGTTGGTGATGGGAGAACAAAGCAGATGTTGACAACAGATTTCATAAAAAACAAGGTGTGTTTGCAGTCGATCGAAGAAGAGATTCACCTGTGCTTTGTGTTGAAGTTTAAGCATGGTGCAGATGGGTAGATTTATCTTCGATATTAATACCAGATGGAAACCAACCTTCAGTAGGAGAGCCAACGTGCACGTTTTATCACCGGGGTTCTGCAGAGTGTGACTGATCACTAATGTTTGGGTTTGCAAGGTGAGCGGGTGGGATTGAGGGATTTGGTCTGTGAGACTGCACACGTTCATCCAGCCCCCCTGGTGGAGCAGAATCTGTGGAATGCAGAGAAATACCATTTCTGGACTGGAACTCGGCCTTATTACTAACAGGTGAGTTCTGTGCCTTTCACGTCTGAGCAGAACACATGTTGAACACTTTCACATCAAAGACAACACCGCTGCATGCACCCCGTTCTATTACACAGACATATTTCGCTTTTCATCAAAGTAACAGTTCAGTCAGTAATGTAAGCACATACATTCCTGTGCACAATGGAGTCCCACTTGTTCCAGGGTGTTCAAAGGCCCATTTCTTCAACATGGCATTAGGCTACCATGCATCTGGCACAGAATAACCCTGTCAGAAATTAGGCCATGTCACTCATCCCATGTCCATTAAAATACGTGTTAGCAAGTGAAGCGTGAAATTGATAGGGGTCCACATGGACCTGAGCCAGGCTGAACACCTGTGAGCAATGGTGCTCTGGTGGGAATCAATGCATCTTAATGCTAAAACACAGCTTTCCGAAAAATGTCCATGTCTTAACAAAATACTTCCTAATGTTCACCAGCTAATCAGATGACACAAACTTTGCCAAAAGAGGAATACATTGAAATGTTTTTTCTTGTAAAATAAAAGTATCACAAAATGAGCTAAGCATCCTTCAAGCACACAAGGATTTGACTTGTGCATTGAACCAAACCATGTTTAGGATCCACATGTAGGAACTAAACTGCACACTAGAGACCGTGAGCTCACACCAGGGCCAATGAGCAGCTGCAGTGGGGGGGGGGGGGGGGGGGGGGCAAGAAGTCTTCCACTGCAGACAAAATTTAAGCAAACGCTCCAATAGAAAAATGTATGCTTTTTGCTTTTATTTGAAAATAAACATGTAAAGCTGCATGTGTGTGCAGGGGCGTCGGACTGGGGGGGGAAAGGGTACCGTTTACCCAGGGCCCACTGCAGGGAGGGGCCCTGAGACAGCTTTGAATAAAAATGTTTTATTGTTGTTGTTTTTTTCCCCCAACTTACTTAATGTCTTAATAAATTTCCCTTTACCTGGATAAAGAGGTTAAGAAACAGAATTTCGCCTTAAAAATAATAACTGAATAATCTCTGAGGCATCTATCACCCCTTAAAAATGTGCAAAGTGGTTTAGTCCACACCAGCGGCCAGGGGCTGCCCGGCTGCATGTGCTAATGAGACATCGCAGATGCCGACAGCCAGAGCTGGAGGCAGGAGAGTCAGTCATGTCTTTTCCCAAGAAAGGGAAATCTGGCTTCCAGAAAAGAAAAGAAAAGAAAAGAAGGAGAAGGAGGAAAAGTTAATTGAACAGAAGCAAGTAGAAGGAAGGTGAGCAGCAGCAGCAGAACACAGTTTTAGCTGATATTAGCTAGCTCTCAGAAGCTGCATTCATGTTAGGTGTTCAGTGTTAAACACCTTTAGTTTCACCATCAAGATCAAATATAAATTAATTAGTGTTATCAGTGAAAACACTAATTTTAGGGATAAGCCGGATACTCATTTCAGACGAGTATCCGGTACGGATAACGCATTTTTGATGAATACGAGCATGAAACTAGTAAAACGAGTCATTCTCTGTAATCGTGCTGAAGGAAAATCTTCATTGGGTAACTGACTGTCTTCACGCTCTGTGATTGGCCAGTCACATAGAGCGCCCGCCCCTCCCTACTTACAAAACTCTCTAGCCGACCGGGAGCTCAGTCCGGCCGGCTCATCCACGCACACACACAGACAGTAACGGATCGCGCTGTGATGGCTTCACTGTTGCTCACGTTTCTTCAGTTTTCCCTAGGTTTTCTTCAGCTCGCCTCTTTTTCGGTTGAATATTTAAAGTTACTTTTTTCGTAACTGACATGGTGCATTTGACAAGACAGAGCTGACGTGCTGTTGTCACTACCTCCGCTCCGGTGGGGTTTTTAATTTTCTCTCTCTCTCTCTCTCTCTCTCTCTCTCTCTCTCTCTCTCTCTCTCTCTTCTCTCTCTCTCTCTCTCTCTCTCTCTCTCTCTCTCACACACTCACACACACACATTAATCAACATTTCTTTGTTAAACTTTGTGTGGGAAAATGCCAAGAACGTTAAGAAAAAAAATCAGTTTAATCAAATTAAAATAAAAAAATATATAAAGTTGTGTCTGGTTCTAGCATTTCATATTTCCTAGTTCCTACTGCATGGGTTCAGATGTATTAATCCATGCACTCAAATATTAATGTTCTGATTTTATTGAAACACTTTTTCTGTAATAGTTTCTTTACTATTGTGATCAAAAATATTTAATCTCACTTCTGAGGCTGCTCTGTAAATAGTTTTCAAATAAACAATACACATAGCAACTTCTGATCAATCCATATAAATTTCAGACTTAAAATAATACATTGATGTAAACCATGTCCACTTCCGGGTTATGCCACGCCCATTCCAAGTACAGATACAGATAGTGGTGTACTCGCTCATCCCTAATATATATATGTATATATATATATATATATATATATATATATATATATATATATATTAAAATCAGAATTATTATCGCGGGCGGCCGCCGCCAATTAATTCGCGGACCTCGCAGTAAAAACAGGTTCACTCTGTGTGGATATTTCAGCTCCTTCCCGGTCATGGACCAGGACAAACTTGGTATCGATGGATTCGTGGTAATCTCAGGAATGAGAAGCTGCCACTGTTTTTCGTATAGCATGACGACACTGGTGTTAGAGGATTGTTATTGACTTGGTTAGATATTTTAAGCCTATTTTAAATTTCTTTATATTTGATCTTGAAAACGGACAATCTTATAATTTGGCTGATAATGCAGGGATTATAAAATTTAGAGTACATTACATTCACAGAGAGAACCTGGTTTATTTCATGTCATATGTATTTAATATATCAATATATATCAGTATTAGCAAAGCTTAACATCATGAACCATGACAGACATGACTGAAGAGCAGATGAAGACATCATGCCAGGCACTGATGAGAAAATATTACAAGGATCTCACAGCTGAATTTGAGAATGAGATGCTACACCTGAGAACAATATATGGTGCCACATTTCCACACATTCGGTCTCCTCTTGAGCTGCTTAATGCCATACAGGATGCAATTACAGAGCGTTTTTGGAGAAGTTTGTATTGGACTGAGGATTTTTTGCACACTGCCTGTGACTGTTGCTGGGGGTGAACGGGCTTTTAGCAAACTGAAACTGGTGAAAAATTATTTGAGATCAACAATGTCCCAGGATAGACTGAACAGCCTAGTTCTTCTTTCTATTGAAAGCCAATTAGCCAAAGGATTGGACTTTAAAGATCTCATAAGTGATTTTGCTAACATGAAGACCTGTCAGTGGGCATTTACAGGAAAATAAATTCCAGGATTTTTGTTTGAACACATTGTTGGCAAATAAAAATAATTATATGTGAAGTCTTGGCATTTCACTTTTATTATGCTGGCATTTGTATTTGCTCAATATAGAGGTTAAACTAAGATCATATTTATTATCTTGTCTTATAGCATGACAAAAAATGTGTCAGAGAGATATTAAGTAATTGAGCATGGGGGCCCACCTAGAAGACTTGTACCTAGGGCCCAGAATTTGGTGCTACGCCCCTGTGTGTGTGTGAGAGAGAGAGTGAGTGAGTGTAGTCGCACATACCCTCAGAGATAAAGTAATCCTTAAACACTTGTGATTAAGGAACATTTGGAGGCCATTTATTTTGCATTCATTTCCTCCTCATGTTAAACATGAACCTTATTGTTGTCTGCGTGCAATTCTTGAAAAATGGACAAAAATCATATTTTGCATGACTGGATCTTGCAAAATATGAATTTTGGCCGATGTTTCAAGTGGTCTTGAAGTTTTGATCAGGACTGTAATAATGATTATAAATAATGATATTCATGTGGCCATATAACAATATATTAGTAATAGCAATAATTACAGTAGCAACATTTTGACACAAGTTTGATTGTGATGGAGAAAACCAATTAAAGATTAGTGAGTTTTCACCCTTCAGTTGCTTTGACCATTTTGTGTGGCTTTCTGTACAAAAATGCCAAATAACTAGCTCTACTAAATAGCTTTCCGAACAGCTTCTGTTCAGAGAAACAATTATGTCTCACAGGACGACTGAGCTAACAGCTCATGCGAGTGTAGCTATGGCCAAATCAAATGGTCACCATCAACTTCAACCTCTCAAATTCACGTGATGCTATTTATACAAAGTCTTTACACAGATTTCATGTATTATATATTAAACAAGACAATCGTTCCTGTTTTCGGGACTCTCCCTGACAGGTCAGACCAAAGCACCAAGTTCATGCGTCTCACTGGCTTTTCCACTCCAGACCTCAAATAAATCAATTTGTCATGAGCTTCTGTTTGGTCCCCAGCTATTTAAAACATTTCAACATATGGTCATTTTTCTTCCTGATTCCTCAGTGTGCCAAATTAAAAAGGACTTGCTTCGCATTTGTTTTCCAGTTATGCATCATTATTAAACCCTATTAATCTTCAATTATAAAATCTGAAAGCACATGCTAGCGAAGCGGTGCCAGATGTCTGTAAGCAAGCCTTTTCTGTGTTAAATCTAGTCGTGTTTGCATATTTGCTGGATAAATAAAATGATCGCTCCAAATGTTCCCGGAACATTTGGACCCTCTCCAGCCCAGATCTCCTCCCTCCTTCCCCCAGAACCAGCGCAGCAGGACGCCTGTCTGATGGCTCGAACCGCGCCTAACCCTCGCATGAGAATTTTACAGCGAAAGACAAAAAGTGTTTTTTTTTTTTTTTTGTGCTGAGATTCAGGGAAACTGAAGACGGGACCGGGAGGGGAACAAAGGGGAGGGACGGTGTGGGCTCTGATGGACTCGGAGATGAGATAGTGTTCCGCTCCATCTCATCCCTCTCAGACCCTGCGTTTACTTTTCCGGATGATGTAACTGTTTCAAGACAGCCTGACTGAGCTCGGATTATCTCTGCTCTTTCTCACGACGTGCACGCGTCTTCCCTGTTTATCTACATCTCCGAAAAGGGTCCGCATCTGCTTGTAGGCTTCGGCGAGGCGGTTCGGCTCAGCGGGACTTTAGGCAGAGTTTACCCGGCTCTTCCTCAGCGATGATGGGCAGAGGTGAGCGCCTAAACTGACCCCCTCCACCGGAGCTCTGCTGGGCATCACTGCTGGAATATTATTTAATTTTTGGAAAACAATTTGTTTGTTTTCTGGTAACTAAGATTTTACATTTATGTTAGCTAACATTAAACGTTGGCTTAAACTTTTTTGTGATGTTAGCTAAATCTTTACCTTCTTCCGGTGTTTAAAATTAAAACAATTTATCACTAAAAGTCCTACAAACTGAACTTTTACAACCGCAAAGAGCAAAATATATTATTGTAGAGATGAACAAATACATTTAAAAGGCGTATGACAAATTTTAGACTAAAATAGCTTTTGAACAGAGCTGAATGCAACATGCTAATTAGCCAAGTCTCAGATGCAGAAGAACACTAGCCTGGTAAGAAAATATATGGGAGGAAATGTAGAGCAAAATTATTTTGCTTCTGCTACTGTGTCCAGATTTCTTGGCTAGAAAAACACACATTTAGAGAATAAAAGAGCACAAATTACAGTAAAATTACTCAGCTTTTTGATATAAAAACCAGGAGGGAACTCTTACTGACATTTTAAAATTACAGCTTAAAACAGTGGGTTTGGTAACACCATTAATAAGTTCTGTGTTTATCACTAATCGTTTGTTTTTTTATACTGCTTAATTAATCATTGATAATGATTATGATTGAAATAATGACTACAAATTTGAAATAATAACTTTACCATTTTGAACAAAACCCGTACAAAAGCACAAATGTTGAAACACTTTTAAATGGTTATTTATAAATCATCATTTAATTATTTATACAGACACGAAATAATTAAAATTGAAAGTAATAAACTCCTTACCTTACACTGACATTGTAGGAAAAATTGAAGAGTAAATCCTAAAATCCTGAAATAAGTTCCATTGTAAGAAAGCCTTTTACCATAAACCATATACCTGAGTTGTTTTTAACAGCAGAGCTACTCTAGATACAAAAAAATACAAAGAAAATGAAATGACCAGTTTTTATTTAAAGGCATTTAGATTTTTCTCAAATTCCACTTTAATAATTGTGTATTTTAGCTCCATAAAAACAAAACCTGCCAACATCTTGTTGTTTTTGTTGTGGGTTTGTACATTTCACCTTCCAGTTAGCAGCAGCTGGACAAGCAGATCAAATTCAAACACATGTTAAGCCCAACTAAGCTCTAAAAGTAAACATTAACTGTTGAAACCGTGGCCTAACACTGTTTGTATCCCAAAGATTGATACTAGCCTCTGAAGTGCAGATGAATATAACAGGGGATACTTCAGGCATCTGTAGCTTAAAATTGGGCTTAGATTCACCTGAAAGTCACCTGAATTTATTATGTATGTTTCTCATGAGCGTGTTTGCTTCATTTTCCATTTCCTGGCTGCAAGTTCACTCTGGAGTTGGCAGGCTGCTTCATCTTCCATGGAGAAACACCAGTATCTGCCAATGCTGTTCACGCTTTGTGGAGAAAATATGTGTCTGGACTTTGAAACTTTGTCAGAACAAAGAATGAAAAAAAAAGCATTTTATTAAAACAACTCCTTTTCCCTTCAAAACAAAACATCAAAGAGAGCCTTTGTGTTTTAAATCTGGGCAAATTATAGCTGAAGGCAAGTGTTCGCTCTTTTTAAACAGTGTCAGTCAGAGCCAGATGGAAGTGCTAAAAAGTGTGTTAAACAGCCAGTGTTAGTGAGCAATTTTTATAAGCAGCAGGAGAAAATGAATTTGCAGGTTGTAAATGACGTAAGTGGTTGAGGCATTTTTAAAGAAGAGAGTGAAACTGAGTTGTCAACAGACCGATTAAGTCAGGAAGTTCAAGTTCTCCTCTCAGCTTTGGTGTATTTTCTGTGTGTGTGTGTGTGTGTGTGTGTGTGTGTGTGTGTGTGTGTGTGTGTGTGTGTGTGTGTGTGTGTTGATCTTAAATGAAGGTATTTAAAAGTCTCTTTAATTGATTCAAAAGAGCTGGTCCCGACCGATGGATTACATCAGACGAGTCGATAATCACACAAAAGATGTCAGACTTTTACAGCAGAATATGCAAAACTCAAACTACGTGTGGATGTTGAAGCTGAGGGTGTCTGACCTGCAGAAATCAGGTGGCTTTTCTCTCCAACAGTCATCAGAGCAGCAACACACTGTGATTTTCCTTCTCCTGTAGGTGCAGTCATGTGGCAGAGGATTCAGATTTGCTGCACACTGTTTGCACTGCATTCAGCGGCGGCGCCTGCACACATCAACCGCCTGGCGCTGTTCCCCGACAAGAGCGCCTGGTGCGAAGCCAAGAACATCACACAGATCGTCGGGCACTCGGGATGTCAGCCTCGCTCTATACAAAACAGGTCAGGATGAAAGCTCAGTCTAGAGAAATGTAATTAAATATTCTATAATATGCTGATTATGCCTTAACAGCTTGGATAATCCATCCATCCATTGTCTGAACCCGCTTTGTCCACGTAGGGTCGTGGGGGGGCTGGTGCCTATCTCCAGCGGTCAATGGGCAATCTGGCGGGGATACCCTAGACAGAGTGCCAGTCCATCACAGAGCTTGGATAATATTAAGCATAATAATTAAAGAGATCAAACATGTTTCCATTTACAAATAACATTTAGAACAACTTTTTTGCTAACTCTCTGCTACTGGTCCTTAAGAGAAAGGCTTTTTCTCTCTACCCAAGTATCGTTGTAGCGTACTTGACAAATATGTTCTTGGGAACATATCTTCTAAGTTCTCGGTAGAAGAACACCACTACTACTCTACTGAGATTGGGATGAGAAAGACGACATTTTGAACAGTACCAGTCTCTGTTACGCCATGGCAACAAGCGCTGCTTTATTCTAACCTGAAATAAGAATATAAAGCAACACTGGGTGGTGTACTTGCCATGATATGTACTTGGGCAACGGCCAAGTACGTGAGTACATTAGTTCAGAAAAGTATGCACACTGAGAAACAGCTTATGATTTTTTTCACTGGTAAATATTTGAGGGCAGTTTTCATAATTTGAAATTGAACTTCGAGTTAGGGATGGGTACCGAATTCGGTACTTTTTAAGGTACCGACCGAATTCCACAGTACCGACCGAGCACCGATTCACATCATTTAAAACGGTGCCTCGTTTCGGTACCCGTCCATCATAACGAGAACTTGCCTAGACAGCTGCGCATGCGCAGAGCGTTATGTCGTCGCTCGCTGCGAACCAGGTGTAAACAGAGCAGCATGGTAGAAAGAACGCACGCTAAAGCTTGGGTCCACTTCACTAAATGTGATGGGTAACTGGGTGATGATGAAACCAGCGACAGACAACGATCTAAGTGAGACATCCTCATCTTAATCTGCTCCGGTAGGTAAATATAATTAGCTTGATATGTTAGCTTCCATTTCACTAATGGTGCGTTCGCTTTCTCCTCGGAACTCCGAATTTCCGGACTAGAAGAACATGAACGCCCTCTAAAGTTTGGCTTCACTTTACTAAATGTGACGGGTGAAGATGAAACCAGTGACAACGATCTAAGTGTGAGGCATCATCGTTTTAATCTGCTCCAGTAGCTAAATAAACTGTTTAAAATATCGTTAGCTTGATCAGTTAGCTTCCATTGCCACCATTATCAGCTAATGGTGCGTTCGCTTTCTCCTCGGAAATTCTAACTTCCCAGTAGGAAAAATCAAATGAAAAAAGACGGCAAAAGGAATGAAGATACACAGTAAATTTAGTTCACAGTAAAGATGTTTGCTTCAGTTTAATTATCAGCTTATAAAACTACAAGGACGATGTTAAAATACAAACAGTTGAATGTTATTTATCGTGATATTTATCAATTATTGTTATATATTGAGAAAAATATATATTTAATTATAAAAGAGAATTAAAATAATAAACACTCAAAAGTATCGAAAATTGGTACCGTTACGTACCGGTATCCATTTGTAGGTACCGGGAATTAGTACCGGATCGATTCAATCGTCAAAGGTACCCATCCCTACTTCGAGTATGTATTACTATATAAACATATTTAAATCCCCTAAATTGTCTAATTACATACTGAGTCTTTCTTGTCATGTTTATTAACCTGGTGATTCCAAATCAAGTTTTCTTTCAGTTAAATAGGTAAATTTAACATTTTTACGTGGAAACTTTGTAACGAAATGAAACAGCTGAATGATGTTATTGAGGAAAAGCACATGTTCAACCTGCCTCTTGGAATTTTAATTATTATTTAAAAGTTGTCAGATGCTTTCCAGTGATTCTTGAGTCTCCAGGTATCCTGACACTTCCTTAATCAGTTCAGATTTCATCTTCTTCCCCTGCAGCTTTTACTCACACAGGCCTGAGGCACGGTGGCGATCACACTCTCTCTCTTCCTTGTTACAGAGCTTGCCTGGGCCAGTGCTTCAGTTACAGCGTCCCAAACACGTTCCCACAGTCCACAGAGTCTCTGGCGCACTGTGACTCCTGCATGCCTGCCCAGACTCAGTGGGAAGTGGTAAGAGTTATTGCACACACACGAAACTACAAGTTCAATAAAGAAGGTTAGCATTTGCTGCTTGCCATCAAAACAGTCAGAAGGAGAAAACAGCACAAATAGATTCCAGTAGATGGAATAGAAGTCAGTATTTTTATATTCTTTTATTGTCCGTCTCTTTAAGCCAGAAGGAATTCATTCTTGTGAAAACAAAGGCTTTGTGGTGAGGTTCTGGAGTGCTGCCAGTTAGACAGGGAGGTGGGAGCACAGGTGAGGTCACCTCATGTTTCAGTAGAAAATATTGTATCCCTTGGAGCGGACAGCTGTTACCAGATAGTTTGATTAATGTTCTTATCCTTTCTGCTGCACTTCAAAGGCAGGAGAAAGTGCATTGACTCTCACTTTACTCCTAATTATCTGGAAATGGCTGTTTTTGTCTGTGGATATGATTGTTGTTACAGGACTTGAAACAAAATTCAGTCTGAAGCAAAACAAAGTGGGTTCTCACAAAAGAGACGCTGCTCCCTGATGCTTTGGCTCCTGATAAACTCGCTGAACGATCATTTTGGGTGGATAATGGAAACAGTGAGGCCAAGTTGTGTGAGGTCCGGAGAGCCGTCTGAGCTTGTGTAACCCCAATCGTCACGGGGGGGGGGGGGTTTGTTTTGATGGGCAGCAAACATTTTAAGTAGTTTACACAAGTATCACACAAGGAGAAAACCAAAAGATACTGGTGGTGAAAATCTTCTGACTAGGGGGATAATAAATATATGCCACACTAAATCCCTCTAGCAGGTAATTCCCCTTTGACCTTTGACCTTACACTGGTGGTTTATGCTGAAAACCCTCCAGTTAAATTAAATTCATCCTGTACAGAAGATATGGGAACATCATTCTTCCACAGTGATGTGAGAGACTACACCAGTTTTCACAAATGCTGGATTCAGTTGTTGCTACCAACTTTGTTATAACAGGTCGTGTTAAAGAGGCCATAGCCTTTTCACAGAAGTGTGACCAAAAAAGAAAAAAACTGGAGAAATCTGTAAGGGGCCACATATGTGTTTGTGTATCCGCCTAGGTGACTCTGGAGTGTCCCAGCAGTGAAGAGTTTCCTCGGGTGGAAAAGTTGGTGGAGAGGATCTTCCACTGCAGCTGCCAGTCATGCAGTAAGGAAAGTGGCCAGGAGGGGGCGGTGATGCAGCTCTATCCAGCAGAAAACACCTTGGATTCATCTCAGTCTTTACCCGACTTCCTCAGTGGAGTACAAGCTCCGCCCCGCTCAGATACACACCCGACTAAACCCGAGCAGCAGCACACAGACCACCACACGCTACCGCACACATCCGATGGTGGGTAGAACCGTCCAGAACCGGAACTCTGCTCACGTCTGCAGCCCTCTCCTCCACTCTGCCTCTCCTGTAGTTTTGTAAAGATGTCATTTTGTATCAAACTCTTTCTTTGTGGTCACACACACACACACATACACACAGGCAGACAAGTGCCTGTGCACGTGCACAGACACACAATATTGAATATCACTTCACACGACCGCTACAGCTGTGCACTCTTTTGTTTGCTTTAATGACACACACACACACACACACACACACACACACACACCAGAATATAGCCTGTTAATATAATGTATTTTAATCTGCTTCAAATGCAATAAAACGTGTGTTTGTAGTAACCGTCTCCTGTGCTGGATTCATACAAACGAGTCAAGCAAGAAGAAAATCAGAGAGAAGTTTGTGTTTTTTAGCCCAAACTTAAACACAAAGCCATGATTCTGTGTTGTTTAGTGCCTTTGATCGTCCATGAACAAACATTCATTAGATGCTGCTGCTGCTTAGTGGAGCGCAGAATAGCTGCAGGACAGGGAGAGCCCATGCTGTTTGCTGCTTCTTTGGTGAGTCTGATCTCTGCTCCAGAACAGAAATGAGATATTGAAGCCAAGTCTTACTTATTTAGTTATAGCACAAAATTAAAGTTAAACTTTCTGTGAGACAATCCTCTCTTTTAAATTCTGCTTTAATGCATGTTGCGTCTAAGGGCTCTGTGATCTACGAACTTCCTTCTTTATTTCACAGTTGGACTAACTTCCTAAGCAGAGCTGGGCCTGATGCAGCATGGTGTATTTGTAATCCAGACACAGATTTCTGTTTCTGCATTTTTGAAAATCTCATCTGAGCAGAAATAAAAAAAATAAAACGGTATTCATGCTTCAGTCCGTACATCCCAGCCTGCATCCTGGGAGCTCTCTGAATACGTCTCATGTTCTTCAAGACACATCAAAACATTTATGGATCATTAGATTTTATTTACTTCAATAGTAAATTGGTTTTTGCTTTTCTGGTCAAGGAGGCAGACTGGGGCAGACATTTATAAAAGTAATACACTAAAGTACAAAACTTAAAGTACTTGAAACAAACTGAATTGTTTGAAAATGTTTAACATCGATTGTTTTTTTCCAGATTGAGATTTCAGCATTTAGAGTAAGTGCAGACTATTCTTTACTACAAAGTGTTAAACAGGAAATTAAACATAAACACCTGTCAGGATTATCTGTTAAGACTTAAATCTTGTAAACAAGTTATTAATTGTATTAAATAGAATGACACAAATGATCTATTTCTGCATGTTTCTTCTATTTTAGTTAAAATTTAGATATGTTATACAATATAAATGCAGGACTTTTACATTTAAAGAAGTATTTGTATAGTGTTAGATTTTTCTGAGTTTTCTTATGTGACCAAAGTTTTTCAACCACGGAACTGATGATTACTATCTGGAAAAAAATTATTTTAAAGCCAAAGTTCTGTAAAATATTATGCAATTTTACACTTTTATGGTTTATTTTATGTTATTTAGACAGCCTTATTGTATTTTCATTTACCACTTAGAAATGTTTGCGACTGAAGACAGGTCTTAGTTCAGACTAGCTGTTAGCTTATCAATCCAGCCAGAAATAATTCTCCAACTGAAGTTCCAAAACATACCAATAAGTTAGGGTATCATGATGATATAGACAGACAGACAGACAGACAGACAGACAGACAGACAGATAGATAGATAGATAGATAGATAGATAGATGATAGATAGATAGATAGATAGATAGATAGATAGATAGATAGATAGATAGATAGATAGATAGATAGATAGATAGATAGATAGATAGATAGATAGATATAGATAGATAGATAGATACATTTATATTTTCCTTCTAAAAGATTTACAGCTTTGTGCTGCACTTGTCACCTGACTGAGACAAATTACCATGGTAACCAGGATGTTGTTCAGCTAATGACTGCTGAGTGCCTGATGCATAGCTGGAGGCAGAGTGACAAAGCCTCTCCAGTCTCTTGGTGGAGAAAAAGAGAACATTCAGTTTTGCGTAACAACAGATTCTCCATAATGTTATCTTCTAATCCAGCAGATGTCAGCAGCTGGTCCCATTCAAATCAAGCATCAAATCTAACAAAATCTTTGACAGCACCATTCTATCCTGTCTCCATGCTTTGGTGATTCCTGACGCGTCTGTGCTGTGGTTTATCGTCCACCTGGTCCAAACAGTTCTTTCCTTCAAGAGTTTAGTGACTTTTTATCCTCCACAGTGGAGCTGTCCAAACTGGTGACTGTCGGTGATTTAACAACCACATTCGTCCTCCTGCTTTTAATCCACCCTGTTGTTCTGATTATGACCCAGATTTTTTAACCTCTCAGTTTAACGAGCTCGATTCTGAACAACATCTGCCAGATCAGTTCCTGCAGTGAACCCTACTACCTGGTTTAATGACAGCATTCGCAGCCTGAAGCGCCAATGCAGAAAAATTGAGAGCTTGTGGAAGAAAACCCATCTCCATCTGCTCCACCTAAAGGATCTTCTGACATCCTTTAACTCTGCAGTCAGAGACGCGAGGGTTTCCTATTTCTCCAACCTGGTGTCCCAGAGCAAAGGGAACCCCAAGGTGCTGTTTAACACCATCAGCAGCATCATCTCTCCTGCCTCTCCTACAGCCTCCATCCACTATGTTGCAGACTGTGAGAACTTTCTGTCTTTCTTTGTGGACAAAGTCAATAAGGTTAGATCTAGCATCTCTCCTTCAGCCTTATCGCTGCCTCTCCCGACTCCAACCAGGCCCATCATCCTAGATAGCTTTGCTCCTGTTTCGTTGCCTGAGTTAACCAAACTAGTTAACTCTATGAAGACCTCTGCATGCCCCCTCGACATCTTACCCTCATCTTTGTTTAAAAGTGCTTTTCTGTCCATCGGTCCCAGTGTGCTCTCTATAATTAATGCTTCTCTGGTTTCTGGTCAGGTTCCTGCTTACTTTAAGAACGCTGTAATCCACCCGCTTCTTAAAAAACCGAGTCACGACCCCTCTCTCCATAGCAGCTTCAGACCCATCTCTAAACTTCCGTTCATCTCCAAGATCTTGGCAAAGGTTGTGGCTAAACAACTCACAGCTGCTCTTGATGAACATAACATCTATGATAGCTTCCAGTCAGGTTTTCGTAGAGCTCGTTCTACTGAAACCGCTCTTCTTAGGGTCTCTAATGACCTTCTGACTCACAGTGATGCAGGGGACTGTTCTGTTCTGGTCCTGCTGGACCTGACTGCAGCCTTTGACACTGTTGACCATCACCTGCTACTGGAGAGGCTGAGAGACTGGGTAGGCCTATCAGGATCTGCTCTGGAGTGGTTCTCCTCTTATCTCTCTGAGCGTTCCTTCTCTGTGGCCGTCTCCAAGTTTAGGTCCTCCACCACCTCTCTTACCCATGGTGTCCCACAAGGTTCTGTGCTGGGGCCTCTACTCTTCCTCTATCTGCTTCCTCTTCAGGACATCCTGAGCTCCTTCAAAGGAATCTCCTACCATCTTTATGCAGATGACATCCAACTGTACATCTCCTTTAAGCCCCATGAGATGTCTAAGCTGCAGCTGTTACACACCTGCTTAGACTCTATCAAAACCTGGATGGCTGGGAGCTTTCTACAGCTGAATGAAGATAAGATTGAGATCCTCATCTGTTCTCTTGTTCGCTCTTCCTTCTTCCATCTCAGGAACATTGCAAAGCTGAGTCCCATTCTATCCTGCATACATATATTTTAATCATTTTTTTAAAATCTTTTTTTATACTTGAATTTTTTGTTTTATTTTTGTGAAGTGCCTCGTGATTTTAATCTTGAGAGGCGCTATGTAAAAGATTGTTTTCTTTCTTTCTTCCTCCTCTTCAGTGTAATTAAATCTGATCAGTAGAAGGTTGACTGTTCGTCCGTTCTGGAAAGCAAATCGATCATCCTGTTATCTGGCAGCAGCACGTGCTGACAGCGTTCTCAGGCTGAGGAGGCAGGAACTAATGAGAACCTTTCAAAACATGACTTATCACCTGATTTGGTGTTGAATTCATCAGTTATTTTTAACTACAGCTTGGTTCAGTACTCGTAAGGTCCTCTGTGTTTTCTAATCTAGTTTAAGTCAACTGGAGGACTTAAATCAGGTTATTGGAGTTAGAGTTTGTGAAGATTGTATTCTCCTTTACAAAAAATTACAAGTTAGTCCCCAAACAACACAGATTTACTGAAAAGCATCTTTGAAGAAGAGGATCTTTAATAAAATGTTGAATATTATTTTACATTATGCTATAACAAACCTTGCTCCTAAAACAAATGCAAAGAAGAAAATGAGTCATTCCTTTTTCCTGGTGTGGACCAGTGGTAGCAAAGAGCTTCCTGATTCTTTTAGATTTTCTCTTTTGTTTAGATTTGTTATTAAAAAAGCTGTTAAAATCACATTTATGAGAATTTTTAAATTGTTTTAACTGCACCTTTTGCACATATGAATGATCAAAAAGGATTAAGTATAAAGCAGAGAGCTCACCATGCATTGAACATCATGATAGTCAGACTAAAACGCCTCCAATGGCTGGCTGCAGGATAAGTTGCCATGCTCACCCCGTAGCCTTCATATTTACTCCTACCTCAGCACATGTCCTGTCACTTTGCAACCATTGAACGCACTAAACAATCTAAAACTAAACTTTGCAGTAATACAAGAAAAACTAAAGTACCCTCTATGTGAGGTTGTTAAGGGGCCTGCCGAATAGGCAGGGCCCTTAATGTTCTTCAAGGATTAACATTTTTTATATTTTTCCATATACGTTAATGCGGCTTGAACAAAAGCATGTACTCTCACAAATTTCACATCAAATATACCGGCTCAGTCAGGGGAAGTGTGCCATTACTTTGCTTGTGTTTTTAGTCAACATAAATATGTTATTGGCAAAAAAACTCCCTGTCCCCAATAATACAAACTACATTTCCCAGAAGGCAACACTTAGATAATTTTTTTTAATGCTGCTTGAACAGAAGCATGCATCCACACAAATCTTACATCAGAACAACTGGCTCGGTCAAGGGAAGTGTGCTATTACTTTTCTTAGCTTTTTGAGTTACCATGACAATGTTAAAAATTGGGACCTGGGGTCTGGGGATCTTCCAGAGGCCTCCAAAAGACCCAGATTGTGGTGTTGAGCTGTAGAGCCACCCTTGAACACCCGCCCTTGGCCAAAATCAGGACCTGGTGTCTGGGGGTCCTCCAGAGGCCTCCAAAAGCCCTGGATCATGGTTCTGACCTGTAGATTGACCCCTGAACCATGCAAAACATCCCTCAAATCAAATCAACCTTTATTTATAAAGCACCTTACATGAATGAAACATGCCACCAAAGTGCTGATAAGACCAGCAGGGACAATTAAAAACCAACAATGTAAACATAACAGAGAGCATTTAGAAATATCAGCAACAGCTAAAAGCCAGTCTAGCAGCTAAGGGAAGGACATCTTGTAGTCTTGGTCCTGCTACAGAGAATGCCCTATCCCCTCGTCTTCAGTCGAGCTCTGGGAACTGAGAGCAGCGATTGGTTCTCAGAGCAGAGTGCTCAACCAGGAACGCGTGGCTGCAACGTCTCTGACAGATGGACAGGGGTCAACCCGATCATTGCCTTGAACACCATTAAAAGAAGTTTAAAATGAATTCTGAAATTGACAGGTAGCCAGTGCAGAGCTGCCAGAATGGATCTTTCCTGTTACGTTTGGTTGTAATTTTGACATACATTCTCTGATCTGCACCAAGTTGAACACGATGGATCCTAATCCAGCCCACAAAAGAAATATTAGCAAATTGTTGGTGAATCTGGTATCATTGTGCCACAGTGCCCCCTACATCAATTTCAAACTTTAATAACTTCTACATTCGAGTTCACAGTCGTACCAATCTTGCTTTGTGTCCTCGCACAAACACCGCTAAGACATTCATGTGGTCATTTGTTGAAATAACTTTAGCTGCGCCCCCTTAGAGACGGTTTTCTGTAAATAAAACATGCAAGGTCTGATTTCCACAAAAATACACATAAATGACCTCTAAACCCAACAACTGCTCATTGGGCTTTAATTTGATGTAGAGACAGAGCCCCCTAGCCTAGATTGATTAAATCTTTAATAATTCCTGAAAAAGAGTCACAACTCTTCCAAACTTGCTTCATTTCTTCATGCAGCCTCACTTAGCACATTTATGTTATAATTTGCTGATTTAGGTTTGGCTCCACCCCCTTTGTGACACTTGGCTATAAATGACACAAGCATGGTCCCATTCACACTAAATTTCACATAAATGATCTTTGTCATCCTAGGAACAGCTGAGAGGGATTATATTGGATTTTGAAACGGTGCCCCAGACACATTTAAACTTTAATGACTCTTACAAACAAGGTCACAACTAAACCAAACTTGCCCTGTGCCATCATACAACAGCAGCACACACATTCACATGCTCAATTATTAAAAGTGAATAACACATGCATTATTTCACGCACACTAAACTGCACGTAAATGATCTTCGTCCACCTAAGAACAGCTGATGTTGATTTATTTGATTCTTAAAATAGCGCCTCCTAGATCCTTCCAAACAGCTATATCTCCATAATGCAACAACAGATTGATACAGAATGTTGTGTACTCTGTTGTGTTTCACTGTTTAACACATTGGTTCAGTAACTGTACATCACCAACCCCCCCTCCCAAATTTTTTTTTGGAAAGCAGCTATATAAGCATCAGTAGTGAGAGCTCAGCAGAGCACTAATGACTGTTTTATAGAGGACCACTCAATACACCACCTACTGATGACATGCACCATTTATTGGCAAGCTTATAGGACATGAATGTAGGGTTTGAGTTGCCAATTACATGGTGGTTCACATTGGTCTATGACACATGGCCCCTATCTTGTGCCAGGTGGCATTCCTGCTGTCACTTAGCCTAGTGAACTAGACCAAATTCTTGCTTTGCAAAGATTGGTCTAGGCATGCTCCATTGGAACCTCAGCAGCTCCTACCAGGACTCTGGCTAGCCAATCACAGCTCTCTAGAGGGGTTTCAAACACATAAAGAGCTGTGATTGGTCCATAATGGTGGGCCAATCATAGTGCTCTATCTGCTTAGTGAACAAATCACAGAGCTTTATCCGCTTTGTGGGCCAATCAGGGCACTCTATATGCCTGGTGGGTGGGATGATGCAACAGAGTGAAACAAGAGTATGTCACATTCATTGTCCAGTGGAATGCGGAGATCATTTGAAAGACAACGGTAGAACCCGCCCCACAACCGAGAGCCGTCAATGGAGCATGGCCAGACTAAATAATACATTTATTTAGTCTGGCTTGCCAGGCTAGCTGTCACTCCCTGTCTCTTGAGTTTTCCCTCTGCAGGTGGGCGTGTCTGGAGGTTGACCAAGCTGCAGCAGATCTGCTCATCAGCCGGCCAGGTGTATTTAAGCAGCTGAGAGACTTCTACGCTTCGCTGGATGATTACTCTACCTGGGTATCTTGCTACAGCCACCTCTTCGTATTATTCTCGAGCTCCTTAGACCGTTTGAGATTTTAGATGTGTTTTGGATTTTGCATTTACCCTTCCTGTTTGTTCACCTGGATAAAACCTCCACCTTCATCTCCGACTGGCTGAACTATGGAACTCCTATCCTCTGAAACTCCAACCTGCTCGTGTCTCAGCCACTCCCTGGCCAGAACCACCTCCAGCTGCCCACCTAAGCTCCCTGGATCTCCACAAACTCAGCTCCCTCCATGTCTCACCTTTTGGATCTCAGTCTCAGGAAATCCCAGACCGGACCACTCCTCCCTCGAGCTACTTCCCTCCTCCAGACTGTAAGTCCTCCGCACAATTCAGATTCCTTGTTCCCCCCTCGAGTTGGATCTAACTCCCATCTGTCCAGATTTCCAGCACCGGCTCCCTTGTGAAAGAACTCAGTTTATGCTGCTTCCTTGGTTTCCCTTTTAATAAATTCTTATTTCAGCACTTGACCCCCGTCTCTGTGCTGATTCTGTATGTCGTGGTTTAGATTTCTACACCACAATGACAGTCGTCTTTCAAAATGTCTTCAGAAATGTTCTTATTCAAACTACAGAAAAGCCAAACAACACAGCTGCTTTAGTTTTTTTATTTATTTTTTTAATCAACAGGTATTAGACGAATATTAAACTTAAATCCTCTCCTGCATCTTCTGCCATTATTACAAGAACCCAAAACTCTCTTTTGGCTGTAATGAATTCTGGGATACCCTTTAGGACACCGGGGGTGTTTCTCAATGCCAAGGATCCTTGCCTTGATGTCTTGGCCCCGCCCCGGTTACGTAGAAGATGTCATCAGGAACCACCAAGGTGTGCTCTAATGTTCATGTTCTAGCCAGGTGTGTGTTCTCCATTCGTTAGCCGTTTAGCTAGCTGAGCAAGGATACAGGAGGTATCTTGTACCCCAGCCTTGGTCTAAAATCTCCCAGATTACACCGCTGTATTTTCAAAAGGACGGCGGATCAGAAGCCGGCAGCTACTTCGGGGGCAAATTTCAAGTTTTAAGTCAACTAATTTAGTTCCAAAGAAATTATCAATGGTTTAGTTAGCTTAGCAGTTGCAGCTTCGGTGGATAGCGGGTAGTAACTCGCTTACATATTTAAACAAATATGTACACAATTATTAAAAAAGGGCTCGTTCTACATTTATATGGAAATGTAAACAAAATGTTATTTCCTGTGTTACGTGACGTTACATGATGCAAGTCTGTTCCATTTAACCGTTTTCTTTGACCAAGGCAGTGTCCTCGTAAGCAAGGCGCCTCACAAGGCCAGGTGCCTTTACATTGAGAAACGCCCTGGACCCCTCTTCGAAATTCAGAGGATATAAGGACACATTTGAGGACACATTTTGGGTGTCCTTCAAATTTGGACAGCATTGTCGCTTCGCTGTGATATCATCACCTTAATGCAAACTTAGACGGATGCAGCCCCTGAATTTGGACACATCCTCTGGCCCACATGGCAGCAGGTGCAAATGGGTTATTATGGTTTCACTTTTCAAACTGAATGTTGGTCCACCTTCTTTCAGGTCCATGGGGCTGATTGAGGAGTTCAGCATACTGCTCAAAATAGTAGAAAGTAAGGCAAATATTAACAAGATATCATTCATTTATGAGGATGTAATTGTGGGGAGTTAATAGTTGTTTTCACAACGTTTTCATTTGTTAATTTAATTTTTTTCGGCAGAAACTTTGAATTTTAAAACCTGATCTTTTATTTTTAGCTCTAAAGGTAGCGCGTGAACGCGCTTCTGAGAGGGTCGCCGTCTCGTCCCGGGAACGCGCAGTCAGAGGATGTGGACAGATGGTAGCATCACTTCAGCAGCGCAGGTTCACACAAGTGTGTGTGAGTGTCAGTGTGTGTTCTGTGCGTTCAGGCTGTCTCACTGGGTTGATTCTTTACAAACTAAAAGCTCCGTGGCGCTCGGTACGGGAGGAATCTAAACGAATTGGCCGATTAACGGGACGTCTTGTCGAGGTAAGAAGACTAAAGACCGGATAAATATTTATGATTTAGAGGTTGTTTATCTTTTGGTCGGAAAATTTATTTCTCTAAGAATTAAGTTTAGAAAATAAGCAGAAATGTATATTTCAGAACAGGTTGTAATACTACTACTACTACTACTAATAATAATAATAATAATAATAATAATAATAATACCCCCCGAATGAAGGATGACACTTTACTGATGAAGTTTTGGATTTAATGACTATGACCCTCACTTTCACCGTAAGAGCTGGAGATGTGTACCAAAAAAAAATTACCCATGTAAATAGATCCACACTCTTACACCAATACAACTGTTATTAACAACATACACCATAAATTACCATTTCCTTAGCTTTATAAGTTAAATCAATGCATTTGGATCTAACCATTATACAACAAAAAATATTTCAAACATAAGTACATTAAGATAATAATTTACCTTGTCCCTCTATCAAGAGGGCTGCTAAAAGCAAAATCCATGTTAGATCTCCGTCAACGCTGCTTTGGCCGTTTTCATCGCTGTTGAGCTAGCTTGCATTAACAGAACAGGAAATGGACCCTTTCAACATAAAAGCATTTCATTCAAACAGGAAGTGATTAAAACGGATTATAAATAAATGCAAGTTGTGCCAAATTAAAATACAAGCAACATAAGATGCAATTTTAGAATTAGTTACAAATAATAATAATACTTATTATTTATTTTTATTATTATTATAGAACACGTTATTTAGCAAAGTAAACAGATATAAAATGATGAGCTAGATCCTGCATTTAAACACAGCCTGTTGTGACAGACTAATGAGCTGATTAAAGCTGCTAATTCCTACTAAAATGTTCCCATAAATTAAAAGTTTATAAGCTAAAACAGAAAAGTGACTAACAGCTTCAGAAACTTGTTTTTTATGCTCAGTGAAGTACTCTGGGCACCTGTTTGTATCTCAGGATGTGTGGCGTGGACGTGGACCTGGATGATGGTCCAGCTGATGAGGAGAAGGAGGAGGATGAGTTCTGGACCGGGGATGCTGTGAAGATGCTGCCCCCTCCCATGGCCCACAGTGAGGGCAGTGTGTGGGGTGGCCATAGGGGCAGGTGGGGCTGCTTGGCTTGTGGAGCAGCTCTCATCCTCTGGAACCTGTGTGTGGTTTCAGTCGGAGCTCTGCTGCTGCTGGTGGTCTTCTGTGTGGTGCTGCTGCCGTCAGGGCTGCTGCTGTACGCCGGCTTCCTCTGCCACTCCAGGGTGAGTGAAGGGACCAACCCAGAGAATTAATACATGATCGTATAAACTGTGGCACATCATCATAAAGTCAGAAGGTAAACTGAATCAAGCTAACGCAGGGGAATAAATTAGGCTAATCAGTTGCAAACAAATGATTCTGGGCTCTGAGTAATCAGGAAGCTAAAGGCTAAATGTAAGGCAGGTGTGCTGAATCAACAAATGAGGATCAGGTGTGAAGAGTCAGCAGAAAACTAAATCAATGAATCGTAAAAGCGTCATTTTAGCTCTTTATTCGCATTCTCTGCTGAAGTCATTTTCATTGTTCAGCTTTTAAAGAGCAGACTTACCCACATTTAGCTCCACCAGATGTTTCTGCAGCTACCCACCAAAGACACGGGGCTGTCTGAGGCCTTAGGTTGCACCACCCTCATCCGCTGGGGGCTGGTGTCAGAAGCGAGCAAATCCTCATTGACTCCCATGTTAAAAATACCAATTTCACAGCAGAAATAAACATGTTTACAGCCTGGTACCAAAACATGTTTTTGGTTTAAATGATCTAGTTTACACTCATGACAACTCTGAGGGGGGTGAATTTTTTTTCTCACTCTTCTGTTTAAGTGTATTAAAAGCCTAAAATTCTGTATAATTAATGAGCATCAGACCCACGTGACCACAGAGCTAGCTCCGTGAAAAGGCCTCAGTAGAGCCTCGGTCTCGCCTGAAAACTGTTCCATGATTTTTTGTCTCTGAACTTAGACCATAGTTGTAGCGTTTGTGTATTCTTGTTTGGATATTTTTAGTGCAATTGTTGGACAACATGACTTGCTGTGGCATTAATTGCACTAATAGAGCGTCCAAGGAGTCTCCACTTCATTTTTTTCGGTAAGTAAAATTATATTTATGGATTTTAGGTCACTGCCGAGCTGAGCTTAGATTTTAACATGTACTGTTTAACCATGAAATTTAAATGTAATAGGGTAAATAGGGTATGTTAAATGCATTTAACATAATGCTGCACTTTAGAAAATGGGTTGAAATAAAACATGTTGGTGGAGCTGGGTTCCGACTATCGGCTTGTAGAGCTCTCGGGAGACCGATGTTTTCCACCCGTTTCTCCCCTCCCTGCAGCTCGGCACATCTCTGTCTGATCGCGGCTTCTGTCTGCTGCGCGGGCTACCGGCTTGTGGAGCTCTGGGATGGAAACCTTTCCACCCGGTTCTCCCCAGCGGCAGCTCTGCGCATCTCAGATCGCAGCGGCGCTTGTCTGCTGTGCGGCTGCCGGCTTGTGGAGGTCTCGGAGACCTCTGTGTTCCACCCGGTTTTACCCAGCGGTCAGCCGGCGTATCTCTGACCCAGAAGCTCTGGTGTGGTGCACAGTTAAGTCCGGTTGTAGCTAGGTTGCTACCTCCGTTAGCTTAGCTCCCACCTCCGCGTTAGCTTTGGGTTAGCTTCAGGTTAGCTTGTAGCTAGTTCGACTGGTGTCGTCAGTTGATCCCAGCCTTACAGCCCCACCCTCAGCTCCTCCTCTCTTCCCTTTTATGGAATTGCCTGGGCTTGACGGAACCTGTGACACAGTCAAAATGGCGGTGGTGGCCACCTCCCATTTGGGATCAAAAACGTGATATTGGAGCCTATGGAAAGAAGATGTCCACGTATATTATGTCGATGGGTTGCACACATGTAGTTATATTTCTATTTTCTCCGGGAGTTCCCATGAGCAGAGAAGTTAAAGAACCTGCCAATGAAGCTTATAAACATCTAAGAGCAGACTCTGAAGTTTTCATACTGGGTGGTCCACCGCATGAGCAGAATCAAGGAGAAATATTTCTGGTTGTGTCTGCTTGTCCTGAGAAACAGAGTTTGTTTGGAAATGATGACAACGAGAAACTGAATAAAGCCTCGGGTTGTTTTTGTATCAGAACAAGCTGCAGGCTTTTATTTAGGGTTGTTATCGTTTTTCTCTGGTTTTGATGAATTGCTGGTATAAAAGGCTCTCCCTGTCCTGCCTGCATCCTGACAGAGATAAACATTACACGCGCTCCGACCTCATTCGACGCCCCCTCACTCCCAGGCTTTCACCACGAGTTACTGTCTCCAAAGAGAACATTTTGGCAGCAAACCATAACCTCACGAAGAAGCATAATCTCTTCATCTGATCCAGATCGATCTGAACGTGTCTGAATCTGACGTGGAGTTGAAGATTGTGCAGCGCCGACATCAAACGGCTCCGGCACTCATTACCTGCTTGGTTAGAAGGAACACTTTTGTTTGAGTATGGAACACATTCACAGAAATATTTAACTTTGCTGTCATTAGAGACAAATTAGGGGATTATTTTAGAGCTTTCTAGAGCATCACAGAGATAATTTTTACACTTGTTCCAGTTCTTCTATAGTACTTTCATAATTTGATTTTAGGATGTTAAATATAAACATCTAAGCTTCCAACAACATGACAGCAATTCGATGCATTTACACATCAAAACCTGATGAAGACGAGCTTCTGGAGATCAAACCTAGCATCTGGGTGATAAAAAAGAGGATTTACAGTGACACAGTCCACAGTCATCTCCTGGTTTTACAGAAGAATGTTCCACAAAAGAGAAAATGTCCTATATGGGCAGCAGATTTGTGGATGAAAATATTTTGCTGATGTCAGAGGAGACTGGGCAGACTGGTTCTAGATGATAGACAACAGCAGCAGGATCTGGTGACAACATGAACGCATGGATCATCCTGCCTTGTGTCAATGCTTTAGGCTGCTGCTGGAGGGGTAATGGTGAGCGGGAGATGTTCTGGTCCCACTTTGGACCCCTTAGGACCACCTGAGTATGATTTAACCACCACAGCCTACCTGAGGATTGTTGCTGAACTTTATGATCACACAGACCCATCTTCTGATGGCTACTTCCAGCAGGATCAAGCACCGTGTCACAAAACTCAGATTATCTCTAACTGGCTGAAAAGGAGCATGAGTTCACTGGATTCCAACGACCTCCACAATTACCAGAGCTCAGTCCGGACCTTTGGGATGTGGTGGAACGGGAGATTCTTCTCATGCGTGGGGCTGATGCTGTCATATCAGTCTGGACCAGAACCTCTGTGGAACATCTGGTTAGATCTACATGAATAGTTTAGGAGGTTCTAAAGGCAAAATGGGGTCCAAGCTGGCACCAGCATACCAGAATTTAATGTTAAGTCTTGTCTACAAAAGAGATTTAAATCAAGAATGAAAATGTAATGAAAGAAAAATGCTTTCTCCAGCAAAAGTAAGGAAAAGCAGGCAAAACACATAAACTCACACAACAAAAGCTCTTAAAGTTCTCTGATTTGATCTAAAACATGCAATGAACAAAATCAAATCTCCATAGCTGATGGGGAAACAAAACCCTCTTAAATGTCTGCTTCAGGGTTTGTGTTTACCTCGTTCACCTCCAAAACCAACATGTTTTCCCAGAGCTGCAGAAATATTTGGATTAAACGGAAGGTGAAATGTTCACAAATCATTTAGAAGAAGGAATCTGCAGCACTCGTTCTTGTTTGACTTTACTGGAAATTTAGACATGCACGCTCGTGTTGTTTGTGGAGAGCGAGAGGATTTTAGGTCTGGCAGGAGAAAGTGTAATGCTGCTCTGAGGGGAGCCAACCATCAGCCTCATGGGAGCTGAAGATCATTTGGACAAAAACATGATAAACTCTCCGCAAAGGTGCTGACATTTATTCTTTATGTTTAAATTTTCTGTTTAGTGTTAGGAGTAAAATCTCTAAACCAGAATGATAAAACTGGAGTTGGAGATTCTACTACTGATGAGATGATTACAGACATGTGCCTTGTTCTGAGATCAGCAGCTCGGTTTTCACCGACAGATTAAAAAGCAAGTCATCCCCAAATCAACTTTTTTTGCTGATAGACTATAGAAACGAGTGTCTAATCGTGCTGTAGACACGTGTAGTCAATTTGGCTCTTTAGTGCATCTTGGTTCAAATTTAAATACTCTGCCTAAAACTGTCAGTGTTGCGCCCTCTTCAGGTAAAACCTCTGCACTACATTTGAGTTTAAATCGGCCATCAATATTGGCTAAGAGGTACACTATGATGTCACAGTGCTGTTGCGTGTGTGTGTGTGTGTGTGTGTGTGTGTGTGTGTGTGTGTGTGTGTGTGTGTGTGTGTGTGTGTGTGTGTGTGTGTGTGTGTGTGTGTGTGTGTGTGTGTGTGTGTGTGTGTGTGTGTGTGTGTGTGTGTGTGTGTGTGTGTGTGTGTGTGTGTGTGTGTGTGTGTGTGTGTGTGTGTGTGTGTGTGTGTGTGTGTGTGTGTATTAGCAGCTCTGCCTTCTTGGTCTGCCAGGCAACAGGATTTAGGGTAGCTCAGGAGGCTGTGCGGGTTGTCCAGTTATCTGAAGTTTGCAGGTTCAATCCTGGCTCTGGACAGAAAATTCTGCTGTTGTGTCCTGGAGCAAGACACTTAACCCGCCTTGCCGGCTGGTGGTAGTCGGAGATACCGGTGGTGCCAGTGTTCGGCAGCATCATCACCATCAGCGTGTGTGAATGGGTAAACAATGCACTGTAGTGTAAAGCGCTTTGGAGTCCTCTGACTCTGAAAGGCGCCATACAAGTGTGGCTCGTTTATAATTTGTTGCATTTTTTTAAAACAGTAAGTGAAAGTGGAGTAAGACTCTGGTAGGGGGTGACTTGCTCTTTAAAGAAACCTGTCAGTCTGGTGGTTTGAGAGTTTTCTTGTTGAACAGTTAACGTGTAAATGCAATGAGACATTATTTATTATCAGGGAAGGAGTCAGTTTGAAGCCAACAGGTGCTGACTCTGTCAGTTTGAGTCTTTCAGCTGTGGTGACACATTTACTAATAAGACAAGACATTCTGATTTGGTGTCAGCAGCATCTGGGGTCAGAACACAGACAGAAAACATTTCTGTAGAAAGCAAAGTGGCCATTTAGTCACTCTTAGATTTAAAAAATACTTAAAATAGGAAATTAGTGAGCTGTATGGGTACTGAATACAGTCTGCATGGCTTATGTTTCAGCTTTGTTGGCTCTTACACCTACTTCTCTCTTTTTGTCATGATAATTATCTATAATAATAATAATAATAATGATGATGATGATGATATTTTTGTGCTGGTTTATTTGAACCACTGGACAGATTATATGAAAATTCCTGGAGAAATGTACCTGATTAATGAGATGGCTGCTACAGCTGATCAACAATAGCGGCTATAAGTCAGACAATTTTTCTGATTTTGAGCTGAGATTTGATGTCTTGATAGCTTTGAGTCTTACCCAGCACCATGGACGTAATTTGGGGGGGGACATGTAATCCCCCCCCCCCCCCACACACACACACACACACTTTTTTTAAAGTCAAGTTTTCACCCCTGCACTTTTTACCATCCAAAAACAATATTACGCTATGTTAAATTGACACTGGTTGAGCTCTAGGACCAAGCAGAAAACAACCATTTGTGTTGAAGCCTGTTTCCCATTAGAGCATACTGTAAAGATACACACCCCCCCCCCCCCCCCCCCCTTCTAAAGTGAAAATTACGTCCATGCCCAGCACGCATATCTAACTCAGGCATGCAAAGTAACAGGTGATGCTCATTTCCTACTTGGAAAATCACAGGAGAAACTCGAAAAATTGGAACATTGTGCAAAAGTTTATTTATGCTAGTAATTCATTATAAAAGGTGAAACTTTGAGACAGACCCATTCCATGCAAATCCAGATGTTTCAGCCTTTAATATTTTTTTACTGTGATGATTTTGGCTTACAGCTGATGAAAACTCCACATTCAACATCTCAGACAATTAAAATATTGTGAAGAAATTTAATATTCTAGACTCAAAGTGTCACACTCACATCAGCTCATGAATCCAGAACACCTGCAAAGGTTTCCTGAGCCTTTAGATCAGGGGTGTCAAATATGTGGCCCGCGGGCCGGATGCGGCCCGCAAGCGGGTTAAATCCGGCCCGCGAGATGGTTGTGAAAACTTTATTTTCATACTTTACAATGAAGAGTGAAAATAAACGTATCTTTGTGAGCAAGTTTCCTCTGTAATGAGTATAAATAAAACAAAGCTTTGCTCAAGGCTCACACAAGAACTTGAATCACATCCTGAAGTCGGCCGCCACTCAGGATGTGACTTCTAGTATTGATGTGTTGGTGAAAGCTAAAAGATGTAAAGTAAAATGAGTCAAATATACTTTAAGTGCTGCATGGAGCTGATCTAGCCATGTGATCTGTAAGCTCTTTGAATCACTAAGGAATGTTTTTTTAAATTTATTGATTTTTTATTTTTTCAAAATTTCAAGTACACTTCAGGTGTTGTACTACATTGTCCTCAGGCTCCAGCTTTGTTTTATATTGATTGTATTAAAACAAAGAAAACAATCTGAAGTTTTTTTTTTAATTTACCGTTCCGGCCCACTTGGGACTAGATTTCCCTCAATGTGGCCCCTGAGCTAAAATGAGTTTGACACCCCTGCTTTAGATGGTCTCTCAGTCTAAGGTGGATTACTGACATAAATTAACTTTTGCACCACATTCTGATTTTTCTAGTTTCACCTGTATGTCTTTCCTTCTTCTCTGAGTTTTGCACCTGGGTGACTGAGCGTCCAAGGCCTTGCTGACATCACTCACAGCTGACCCTGTTAGTCAGACTCTCTCCTGGAATACCCCGACTCTCCTCTCTGGGTTTGTTCTTGCAGGTCCTCGATTCCTCCTCTACCATCTGCCGTTACCTTGACGACAACAGCTGCTCTGCCCTCATCATCCTGGGCTTTGTGATGATGTCTCCACTAGTGGTCGTGGCTGCTGCGATCTTCTGCGGGCTGCTCCGAAGGTTTCGGCTTCTGCTTTTCATCCAGCCGATCGGGCGTGCTCGGTACCGAGGGAGGCTGCAGGACTGGGTGGGCAGCTTCCACGCCTGGGTCTAAGAGTGTGGGTGAGGGTTCAAAGCACGGTGAAGAACGAGTTCTGGAGAGGTAGAGTGTGATAGAGAGGGTGGACGAGTCCTACCTCTGGGACAAATGGTGAAATTAAGCCTGTAGGAGAGATGAATGTTAATAAAACCTGATATGGGATGAAAAAATAACTCTTTTTAAGCTTTAGGGCTGAGCAGAATAAGGTTTCAGCATTAATGTCATAACGTCTGTGTTCGTGTGCAACAGTCTCACGCTGCGTTAACTACCTGCAGCCGTCTGTCATGCATGCTAAACCGAACACGTCCAGCTGCACATCTCTGCTGCCTGGAAGTCCCTAAAAACCGGTGATATCTCCGTTTAATCGTCCAGCTGGTTCCCGTGGTTCTAGAGAAACGTTGAAACTTTGTGTTATTGAGAGACGTGACAGTCTGATGAGGATTGTGATTGTTGACCCCGTCAGAAAACTGACTTGTGTTTGATGCTTTAAACAAAAAGAGTTTACAATAAAGTTCCTGACGATGTGGTTAAGAGAATAAAACACCTTTTTATCACCAGTTTACCCAAATGATTTTTTTTCTTCTAACTCTAGTGCTCAAATGATTCTAAATCATCAAGAATTTCCACTTTCCACAAATTTTTTATGAAGTAAAGTTGTGCAGAAGGCCAGAGGACCTTTGAGATGCATTTATTAAATATCTTCTTGTATAACAGATATCATTAGTATCGTCTTTTACATCAGCAGACTTTTGGAGTGACATGGTGGCTTGTTTAGAGGAAAGCAACACAGGATGTGATCCTTTAGCAGCTTGTTTACAGCTCTTGGTTTTACAGAAACAAAAAACTCTGCATGTATAAAACTCTCCTGCAACAATGCTGTGTTTCTGTTGCTTGTGCAACTTTTTCATATTTTTAAATCATTTTCTTGAGCCAGTATTTGCCTAAATGACCCTTTACGAGGTTAATGAAAGGCCACCTATCGCCTCCTGTGGCCAGAATATTCCACTTGCAACTTCAGACTGGGGCTGCTTTGTTGGAGCTGACATACCTGGCGCTGCTGTCTGGTGCCAGCAGGTTTCGTGCATGTTTTAGATCATGAACACAGCTGATTTGTTTAATTTGGTGATGGATCGCTCCTCTAGACACCAAGAAAGTTTGGGGAGACATTTCAGATGTTAGATTAAGGTGTTTAAAATGCAACGCACAGTGAGGAGACGGGTTTTGCTTTTAGTTCTACAAATGGACACTAGGGGGTGCTAAAAGCAAGCAAAAACTGCCCATAATTCCTCTTTAAACATGGAAATATTGTTCATGGTTTAGAGTTTTTGTTCATTTTCTAAGGCCTAGTCCACACGTAGCCGGGTTTTTTGAAAACGAATATCCGCCCCTCCAAAAACTTGCATCCACACCACCGCGTTTTAAAAACAAACTCTGTCCACACGTACCCGAATAAATACGTTGTTAAGGACATGCCAGACCTGTAGGCGGCAGTACTTCCCCCGTTCTTAACCTCGTCCTTCGTCTGTGGTCTTCCGCAAGGAGCAGTAATTCCGCTTGCAAAAACAAACAAGCAAAAAGCGCTTGGACAATTGATAAAGCGAGCGCAGCTCTGAAGGCTTCCATGATGGCGGCTAGTGTAAACACAGGTCGCACACGTGATGTCAGCATTTTTTGTCGCGGAAAGTGACGTTGCAGACCTTAAAACTCCGGTTTTGTCTGTCCACATGCAGACACCCAAAATGGAGAAAACGCAGATCTTCACTTTGGCCGGAGTTTTTAAAAAGATCCGTTTTCGTGTGAAAAAACTCCGTTTTCGTGTGGATGACAGGCCAAAACGTAGAGAAATATCTACGTGTGGACAGGGCTAAATGAATGAAGGTTTCTGTAGGACCTAGTGAGGCTAAAAAACAAAGCAGAGAGTTAAAGGGACTAAATGTCTTTCGCAATCTAAATATTCAGTTTGATCAGCTGCTGCTTATTTGCCGCTCATAGATCATTGTTGCTTATTTCTACTGTGAAAATGTGAAACATTAAAACCCCTTTCACAATAAAAGTAGCAGCAAACTGACAAATGAAAGGTTGTTTATGATTCAAATCATCAGGACAGAAATAATGAAAATATATTTCAGAGCATTTTTATTTGACATGAAACACTGAGGTACTTTTGTTCTTGTACTTGTTTTGAAGATCAAAATAAACAGGTTTCATTATGTTCTCTATTCTGACATGTACGACTTATTTATAATAGAACATTTTAATGGCTGTAACAAAGCAAGTTTTGTCCTAATTAAAGTTGTTTAATTCCAGTTTAACACCTGAAAGATGTGATTGTGTTATTCAGGAGAAATGTGCTCGCTACCAAAGCATGTACTGACCCTCTGCCAATAAAAGACCATTGTTGTCATCCGGTTTCCTTTGTGTTTCTGACCTACCAACCTACCTACCTGCCTGTCTGTCTGTCTGTCTGTCATACCCTATCTTATTGGTATGTTCTTGAACAACTTCATTTGGAGAATTATTTTTGACTGGATTGATGAGCTAACTGCTAGTCTGAACTAAGACCTCTGTCTCAAACATTTCTAAGTGATAAATGAAAATACATTAAGGCTGTTAAACCCCACCTCAGAGGGTCTGAACTGGCTGTTTAGGGGCCAACTCTGCTCACTAAACATAGATTATGCAGAAGTTCATTGTCATGATCTGTGTCCCTGTGGTTCCCAGCCCCCTCCCGGTTCCCCTCATGTGTCCCCTAATCTTCTGTGCCCCCTGTTGGTCCCCAGCTTCTCCAGGTTTCCCTCTAGTCACTTCACTTATCATTAGGTTTCTGTTATTTTAGATTATCTAGTTCACATCTCCCTTTAGTGTATTGTGTTCCTTCCCCATTTAAGTATGATCCTCTCCTGCCTTCCAGTGTAATTAGTTCTGTCACTCTGAGGTCATTAGTTTATTTATCTTTAGTCTTATTTCTACAGTGTTTAGGTTTATTTACGTTCAGTAGCTTTGTCTTACAGATTTTCGGTCTGGTTTCCTCACCTGCCCTGTTCTGCTCCTCTCAGTTATCAATCTCACCTGTGCCCAATTCCCTTCATCACCCAGCCCCTGTGTATAAAACCCCGTCTTGTCTCTCAGGCCCTGTCCACACGTAGCCGGGGATCTGCCAAAACGTAGATATTTTTCTACGTTTTGGCCTGTCATCCACACGAAAACAGAGTTTTTTTCACACGAAAACGGATCTTTTTAAAAACTCCGGCCAAAGTGAAGATCTGCGTTTTCTCCGTTTTGGGTGTCTGCGTGTGGACAGACAAAACCGGAGTTTTAAGGTCCGCAACGTCACTTTCCGCGACAAAAAATGCTGACATCACGTGTGCGACCTGTGTTTGCGCTAGCCGACAGCATGGATGGCCTCAGAGCTGCGCTCGCTTTATCAATTGTCCAAGCGCTTTCTGCTTGTTTGTTTTTGCAAGCGGAATTACTGCTCCTTGCGGAAGACCACAGACGAAGGACGAGGTTAAGAACGGGGGAAGTATTGCCGCCTACAGGTCTGGCATGTCCTTAACAACGTATTTATCCGGGTACGTGTGGACAGAGTTTCTTTTTAAAACGCGGTGGTGTGGATGCAAGTTTTTGGAGGGGTGGATATTCGCTTTAAAAAAAACGGCTACGCGTGGACTAGGCCTTAGTGTTTGTTGGTCCATTGTTGTTGTCAGTGTTGTGCTGTTCCTCCTCGTGAAACTCTGGGTTTTGCTCATCAAAGAGCTTTTTTATTTTTGTCAGTCGGGTTACTGATTTCAGGCTTGGCTTCCTGCCCCTTTGGAACTCACTCATCATCCAAAATAAAGGAATTTTCATTTATGCGACTGCTCCTGAATTGAGCGATTCTGGTGTTCTGCATTTTGGGTCAGTCCTCCTCCTCCTCAACGTGACATTCATTAAAGAATCCCAGATTTAGAAGGATGGAGCCTTTCAGCCAGTAGCATCATAATAAACCATCCCAACATCTGGCAGACGATCTGGACTGAAACTTAAACCTTTCACTTTTCCAGTTTTGCCTCATAAAAGCATGGTGACATTCCTGCTATCATCTTGATCATGTTTGATTAGTAGAGATGCATGGATATGAAAAATTTGAGCTGATACACATGTCCAATATCAACATCGCAGTTTTGGCTAACCAATAAATAATTTACTATGATACTGAGCAGAACCCTCAAGCTCCTAGGCCTCTGGTAGAGGACCTGAGCTTGGAAAGATGAGACCACCCACGGAGAGTGAGATGGTAATTTTTGATAGACAGACAGACATTTACACTTTGGAAATGAGCAAACTCTGTATAGACTGAAACTTATGTAACCCAGAAGCTAGAACCTTAATGAGGTATTAACTAATTGGCTTACTAATATGATCCATCCTCAATTTAGATAAAATATAAAATATAAATTAAGGAAATTAACAATACTAATTAATAGATATCTAATTAACTAATAGATAATTTCATAATGAATTATTGGAAGGGTGAATAACTAAAATAACGAGTTTAATATTAAACATCGGTTAAAACAAGAATCTTGAACATCCCTAACAGAAACAGAAGAGGAAAGCTGTATACTATTGGTCCAGGTGGGAATCTGAAATTTCATTGGCTGAGAGAAATAAGTCCCGCCTCCGCGAAATAAAACCGTGCGACGCAGCTGAGCGAGAGGAGAGACAAACGGCTGTGCAACACGCAGATACAGAAAGCAAAGACTGAGCGGTTAGAGAGAGAGAGAGAGAGAAAAAAAAACAACGGTCGAGGCCGTGAAGAACCCTGATTTGGGTGCCGCATAGATAGAGGGAGAGGCGGACTTGACTCCTTCTAATAAGAGCTAGGAACTTGGAACCAACGCGGTGAGTAAAGAAAAAAGAAGAGAAAAAGCTAACGATGCAACTTAAAAAAAAAAAGAGGAAACTTAAATAGCTTATCAAATTAATTCCATTCTTATAGATTTGTGTGGAGACGACAGAGTGAACCAATCCTCTGTAGGAGGGAACCGTTGGAGCGCGTTGGTGAGTGAATGAGATTAAATTCAGTAAATTATTAAATTCAAAAAGCTAATTACAGCAACCGAGGTGACAGCAGTGGGCTGCTAGACGTTAGATCCCAGGAGTTAACATCTCAAACTACCAGTTAACGGTGGTAGGGCATATAGGAGTTAACGGCTCAAACCGCCAGTTAACGGCGGTACGGCATATGGGATTCCCAGGAGTTAACGGCTCAAACCGCCAGTTAACGGTGGTACGGCCTAGATGTACAAGGTCCTCAGGGGCGTTATAGCTAACGCCATAGAATTAGCAATGCGTCCCTTAACCAAACATTTAATAATAAAAAAAAATAGATAAATGAAAATAAATAAAAGCTAACTGATTAGGGAGGAATTATTTTACAAAGGTGGACCAAAGGACCAGAATTTATATTTTGTTGAATTTTGTTATAGAACATTTTATTTATTTATTTATTTATTTATTTATGTATTTATTTATTTATTTATTGTGTTACAGATATACAAGGTGTCACAATGCTGTATAGAAACACAACTAAATGTATCCTTGTTGTCATGAATGTATTTCTTGTTGAATAGTGTAGAGTAATAGAATCTAAGTGAGCCTATTGAGCTGAACAATTGTTGTCATATGTAATTATATTTCCAGAGCTACTGAGAATTATTTTAATAGACAATCAAATTGATGTTATGTTAGTTGAACTGTGAACCCAAACATGATTGGCTATGCCAATAGAGTGAAGCATTTGTTTAAGTCTGTAAGACTTTATGCTGTGATGTGACGAGAAGGGTCGATGCCAACTTGCTAACAGTCCTGTTGTTTACAGGCTGGGTTTTTTTTTTCCTTGGGTTTGATCCCGACTCCTATGATCACTCACTTGGAACGAGAACTGGATTTCTTCCTGACGAGGGAGATGGCGAGCCTTAACCACTGAACGAACCAGGACATCTCAAGTAACTGAAGAGCAGACTGCTCTCTTCTGTGAACAATCTCAACGGTGTGGTAGGAAAAAATCGCACCACCGGACTCTGACTTTCACCCCAAGCGTGGGGATTTGACTTGACGCCGGCTGACTTGTGACTCATATGATCAAATCTCATACCGACCATTTTACTATTGTCGATTGTTTTCATCTGTTTTTGTGTGTTATCTTTATGTGTTATATTTCCCATTATTATTAAAATTTAGTATATAAACCGTTTCATGCTATACCCGTGACTCCAGTCATTCTTAAACAACCTCCAATTCTCCCCTAACCTAATTATTGGCCCATTTGTTTATTTTTTCTTTTAATTATCTTATTGTATCCTGTAATCCGGTTACATAAAACTTGGCGAGCCAGCCAGGAGAATTGTAGAGTTGTTACCTTAGCTAACCATTGACTGACATCATAAGAGTGCCTGGAGGTCACAGTGGTTTGCCATTTTGGCATTATTGGTACTTTTGAGTGTTTTAAAATGGAAGTTGTGAAAACAGAAAAGGTCAAAGTTTCAAATGCTGTTTTAATCAGTGGGTTAACTGATACAGACCTTGATAACGAAGTCTTTGGGTTTATGGAAGGATTCGGACCAGTTAACAGGCGCATTAAGTTACCAAACTGTGATCAGATTATTGTGGAGTTTCAACATGAAGCCACTGTTAAGGAATTAAAGAAACAATGTTTACCCTATGACAAACCTTGTACTAGGAACCCAGATGTTTTCTTTCATATTCAAGACCTAGCCAGCGCGTACAGTCTAGAAACTAGCACATCTGCCACTGATGCCTATCTGTCAGAGCTCAGGGACATAGCTGCGCGTAGCAATCAATCATTTAAAGACCTTCTAATGGAGGAACTGGCAAAAATTGGGGAATCTTTAGGAAGGGATACCCATGCATCTGAACCAGTCACTGAACCAGAGCCAATGCTCCATAGTGACCAAGTTACATATTCCCTGCCTTTAACACCAGAAGTTAACTATATGAACAACTCAAAGGACAATTGTCCACCTACAGAGACTGGAAAACAAAACCCTTGCATTCCACCAAATCTTTTAAACACACCTGAGGTTCAGCGAGTTATTGTGGAACACATTGTTAAAAGCAGTGAGGTTATCCCTCCGCCTAATTCACAATACAGACTAAAACCGTTCTCAGGGCGAGTTCCACACCCTTCTTTTGAAACTGACTATGATACTTGGCGTAGTAGTGTAGTGTTATGCATAAATGATCCTTCACTCACCAAGTCCCAAATTGTACGAAGAATCGTGGAGAGTCTGTCAGCCCCAGCAGCGAGCATCGTTAAAGCTCTTAGTCCAAAATCCGACCCGGAAACGTACCTTGAACATCTCGATTCAGCTTACGCAGCTGTCGAAGACGGCGACGAGC